CTTTCGTTGAGGCTCGGAGTCTAATTAATTTTTTGTCCGAGTTTTTTGACAGGATGACACTTTGATAATTTCATCAGTTGCGCAAGTCCTAGGTAAGTGTAATTTCGAAAACCCCTTCAAACATCACGAGTGACAGTACATCACAAAAAGCACGAGCAATTCATGAGAATTTTCATTTTCTACACAAAATCACTTCTTCCTCGAAACACTTTTCAACGGTTTGGAAAATGCTTGTGTGATCAATAGAGCGCAGTTTATCAGTTTACTGACCTACTAACCCACGCGGGGTGTTGAAAGAACACTCGCAAAGTTTGTAAATTACAAGCCGGATATTTTCTTGAAATAACCTCAAAAAAAACTCAGTTTGTTTCAATTAGTTTGTATAGGGAGCTTGTTGTATCCATTTTTTTTAAATAATTAAATTTGTTATTGACGGTAATTTTCTTTCAATAATGGTCTATGACAGAAAAACCAAGCGTTTCTTTCCTAGTATTCTAAAAATAAACTTGTCCACGAAAACTGAAATTTCCAAAGAAAGAAATATGAATATCTCGTATTGATTTATGCATACACAGGCTCAAATAACAACTGAATGTTTAGGATTTCGCACTTGAGAAGTGTCTAGTACCCAGCTCCTGCTGGATATACTTTTGTACGTGTCAATGTTACGGTGCACGGTCATTAGAAGCGGTAACTTTTTATATTTATAGCCTACGTCACGGTACCACTCCTCGTCGTTTTGTTTACGAAAGCGAGGGGGCGTTACGTGAGAGCACCGATATGAATGACAAATGACGAATTAAAATATCCGAGACTTCACGAAACGGCGATGCCTTCATTTTTTAAACCACGAGACCCGTGCCGGCTACCTACGTGCGCGTAGGTTTCTATACTTCTGCCATAGTCAGCACTTCGACACGGCTTCGCGGAAAATTCCGAAACTGTGGCACCCATGCATTGAAAGTGTGCGAGACGTTCACGCTTGCGGCGGCTACCTCCCACTGGTCGGGTTTGCTTGTTACAAGATACAAGAATGTTCGTTACTCTTTTCAAGAGATAAAGACTTCCATCTGCTTTGGTGGAATGAAAAGTTATGTAGCGTTCGAGGTCGTCAGTAAATGCTGGAACCTTAGAGTTACAGCACGGATCATTCAGATTGTAGTGCTTTGCTGTGGTAGTTCTTATTTTAGAAATCACCTGATATGATAACTTTTTTCGTTAATGACTACTTTTCGGAATTCTTGTACGATAGGCACAATATACGCGCAAACACGAGCGTATTCTTCTGCAATCTCGACAAAGTTAGTGTTCCGACAGCCTGCGGGCCTATATTATTACGTATTAATATTTTGTCTTGTTGTTTTTTTTTGCGGTAGATTTTCTGATTGTTTAACTTGCTAATTTCAGTGTTTTTGAAAACAAAGGCCAAATGTGAACGTATGCAAAACCTTACACCATAACTCACGCATTCTGGTGTGAAAACCAGCGCCTTATCGCTGAGTTGATTCGCACAAGGACAAAAATCAAATTAGCAATCTTCCGGAGATCGTGTTTCAATTCAACCGGTATTTTTCCCCGGATTGGAGCCAATATTTTGAACACGAAAAGGGCAACAGATTCAATGCAAGGCGATCAAGCATGCAATGACTGGAGGAATAAATAGTTTAATTTGATTTAATTGTGTGGTGAGACGATGTTTTGAAACAGTCTGCGATCAAAAACAGAAGACTCTCTAGCTTATGTGAGCGTTTTAGTTATGTGACCTGACACCGCGAATGTTTTCGCACGTTTTGCTTCTTCTGATTGGCTTAAGCTGTATTAATCACTTTTTACGTTGTTTTCGGAAGCCGTTTGGACACGCCGAATAATAACAAAACAGAACTGCTTTCAGGGCTATTTTAAGTAACTGAGGGATTTAATTTCCATACCTTTCAAATGACGGTACAAGAGATTTTATAAGAGTGTTAAATTTTAGAAGTGAAGCGTGAAATAAAATAAAGCATTGTTTATGGTGCGAAATGGGTCTCTAATGTTTCCAAAAGGCACGAAACTTGGATTTGCATTTAAAGATGAAGAGACGGGAGCGATTGCGGTTCTGTTTGTTTTTATTTAAATCTCTGACAGTTGAAGTGCGATTCTGTCTGCTGGATTTTAACTGCGGTCGGATCACGTGTCAAAGAACAGATCATCGCTGGCTTTAGAGGGGAATCTTTTTTGTTTATGTTTTTCCACTTCATTAGAAACGATCGCGTGAATCGACCAATATCGAGCAGATTTCAACCCAACTAAGGAAATTGACGATTACCATAGCTAGACACGCTTTCCTGGAAGAAACTTTCTCGATCAAGTCGTTGCAGACAACTATTTGTTTCACTTTCGAATGTTATCCGTGATTGACAGGCTAGTCGTAAGAACCAATCAGTGTCCCCGCAGTGAATAATGACGCAAACACACCATTTATTGGCTTCTGTAAACAAAAGGACGAGAACAGGATGTGTTTTCTGTCTGTTCCCCGATCGCGTTTATTTAACTCCTAGTGCAATTTTCCAGTGCTTGAATCTTCAAAAACCTGATTAAATACGTCAAACATCGACTAAAGCAAAAAATCTGGAACGCTACGAGCGTAAAACTAGCTCACGGTCTCGCTTAGTTGCAAAACGCCAGCCCTCACCACGTGGTCTATGATAATTATGTTGCCATAGAAATCATTATCTTTTTGACACCAAGATGACACACCTCTCACGTTTGCATTTTATATTCGTGGGTTATCACAGTTCAGCAAATCGGTGAAAAAGCAAAAAGGCGATCGAAGGTACGGGAAGCGTTAGTCTATTTAGACTCCTCTAAGTGACAACATGTCTACGGCCCTTGTCTCCGCGTTTTATGACGTGAACGACGTGTTATACAAGGTTAGTTGCCGTTGTCGTTTTCTTTTAGAACTTTACGCAAGAACAATCGCATCTATTCATTCCGCGATGTCTCTAAAGTAGAAACCTTTGTGCAAGGTGATTAAGAGCAATTTTAAAAGTCCCTCTGTCGCTCTGATCTCACGTCAACATGTGAATCGCTTTCTTCTGCAGAATAACAGAAATCTCGGCTTGGCGTTTGAGCAAAGACCACGAAGTGAAAGGAAACCATTGCCTATAGGCCAGCCGCGAAGACACTCGACTTCTGTTTCAAGCTCTCGCTCCTCGCCGAATCTGATCACGTTGACGGGTTCCCCAAACAAACGAGAGCGCTCATTGAGTTTGAGTGCCGAAGAGGAGCGCAGACGAACCAGTTCAAACTCCAGCCGGTACAAGACCGAACTTTGTCGCCCTTTCGAAGAGAACGGTACTTGTAAGTATGGAGACAAGTGTCAATTCGCTCACGGTGTTCACGAACTGCGCTCACTTAGTCGCCATCCTAAATACAAAACTGAATTGTGCCGTACATTTCACACGATCGGGTTCTGCCCTTATGGGCCGCGATGTCACTTCATTCACAATGCAGAAGAACGAAGGGCTGCGCAGATGATGAATGGTGCCCGAATGTCTCCGCCATCGCAACTCATCGGTCCACCTTCGCCGCCACTCACAGAGCCAAGCTCGCCATTACCGACTTCTTTAACTCCACCTTCTCCATCTCCGCTCTCCTTCTACAACGATGATAGCCCATTGGGAAGTCCTATCAACAGCCCGTTAGCGATTCCTTCTCCCGCTTCAAACAATGTCTTTACCTTCCCATCACAAGCTCAGGATTTCTCGCCTGTTCTTTCGCCGACCATGGCAAGCCCTCCAGGAGTGTTCTCGCCTGGGTTAGAGCTGAACGAAGACGATGACTTGGACGAAGATGATGAAAATCTTCCCCCGACGCCGCCAGACTCGTATGATTTGGCTAGCCGAAGGCGCTTGCCTGTGTTCAACAGAATGTCCGTGCCGGAATAAGGTTGTAAAAATTGGCTTTTAGTAGTTTAACGTTTGTACACAAGATTTGTAATTTAACATTTAAAGACTGATCAAGTCAACAAAACGCTGGAGAATCAGTTATTATTTTCACGTCAAAATAGGGCACACAAGAATATACATATACATATATTATATTATATAATTAACCATATTTTTATGATCGGGACTAAAGCACAGATTTATATGCATCAAGCAGTTTCTATAGGTCCTATAGCTTATTTATCGAAGAAAACAGAAAGAAAATTATCGACGGAATTGCTAGTGTTAAACACGAAATTCCTAAGTGTAAGTTTTTCGTACACGTTTTATATTTGGTCAATAATTACCACTGTATATTGTAAAGCCTGTGAATAATGGAAGCTAAAATTATATTGTCGACGTTTTTTTTTTCTTTTACCTCTTTCAATTCCTATCTATTTAATATATTATTTATTTAACTTATAATACCAAGCGATAAGTTGCTATTTTGTTACCGAATTTTGAATCAAAATCCATTAATTTTGTTACAGTCAGGTAGAGAAATGAGAGAAGTAATTTCTTAATATATAGCCTATTTACATGGTCGTAATTTAAACGTAGATAATTTATAATCGACTTGCATATTTGGGAGTGTTATGTGCACGTCTGATTCAAAACCGAAGTTGTTTTTGAAAATAGGAACGTCTTTTTGGAAAGCGATTCAATAAATGTTCCTTTAAATTTTGTAAAAAACTTGTGTATTGATTTGGATCTGCGATCGCGGTACAAAAGCTGGGAAATGGGGGCGGTGCGCATCTTTCGATAAAGTCGCTTGTGCAATAACATCGGCGCGACTTTCGCGACAATTATGCCAGGCATTGAGGGGTCATTTTGACAAGGTCGGGCGCTGAAACGTTTCGGTTTACATTTTTTGCATGCGTGAAGCCACTCTTGAATGGCTGCCAACAGTGGGGAACCAAACACCCAATATCGAATGATACTTACTTCTCTCCACCAATGGCGAGGGGTTAGCCCTTTTATCGCCTCAGGTCATCCTTGAAATCTGAGAGCGCTTTGCGAGCAGAATGGTTATCAGAGAATAGCAGGGTCGAACTGTCGATGGACATTAAAATATCAACTGACAGATGAGGAGAAAAATGTTCGAAATCGTTGGAGTTAACTCCATGTAGATTGTTTGCTGGCACCAACTTCCGTTTCAATTCGATTTATGACATCTTAGTGGCTCTTTAGCATACCGAACCGTGAAAAGGCACAGTAGCTACAGGAAAGAAGTGCTAATACTTCAGAGTTAAATATTTGGAAAAAGTGACAACGTTCGCAAGCAGGGTATGAAAGTTGCTAGTGTAGAGCTTTGATTTAGGAATGTTTCCTTTCGTGATATCAGTGAAATCTTGCGCTGAATCTGTGACTTGGCCCGTAAAAAATATTGGATTTCTGAGGATTAAATAATTATTTCTCGCGAGCAGTATTCAAAACATTGACACGGCTTGGCTGCTGTGAAGAAAGATCAAAACAGCCGTTTTTGCTTCAGGCAAACGGAACAATTATCCAAAAATTTGCATTTAGAAAATCGAACTTTACGCTCCTTGCTATTGAAAATCGCTGAGTCGTTACGTCTGTTGTGTTTAATGAGCATCGTGATGTTTACTTTGAAGAATCGAGATTTTAACGATCAACAAAAGAGCATATTTGCTTCGAGAATTTAAAGAACTTTCTTCGAATTTCGATCGGTTTTCTGCGAAAGAACGAATGATCAACGAAGGTGCAGAGGGCGCTGTAGTGATTCGTTTCCGGTTTCGTCGAAACGCGGTTTTCCGGTTACCTGTCTTGTCACGTAGCAGAGCTAACATACGAGGATTATTTTTAAAAGAAATATTAACTGATTTACATACTTATGTATTTACTTTTGTTAATACAAAGAACACACAGATAAAAAATGTCAACTTCTGGTTGGCTGACTGTTATGTTTTTACCATAAACAATATAAAACTTACACGATTTCAACAACTCGGCTCCTTGAAAGTGAGTAACTTACCAAATTAAAATTTGGCAAGATTTCATTAATGAAGATTAAATTTGAATTCCAGACACTTTAAAGTCCTTAAACATTCTTGAAAAACTCCTTGTGGGATGCAGTTGATTGCAGAAGTCTTTTTATAGATTATTATGACTTCCGAAGCTAGAAGACTAGTGTTTTTTTTTGTTGTTGTATTTTGATTTCTTGTCGCGCTTGAAATGTCACACTCTTTTCTTTTATCCTCTATGTGCCTCCTATATTCTTAATTTTTCTTCTTTGTCAACAAACATTGTTTTCCAAGTGTTTTTTTTCTCAGGAATTTTCCTTAGGAGAAAATATAGTCAAACTCCCTACTGCAGTTGGAAAAGATTGTGTCACCTTTAAAAAATTCGGTGCGGATTTCTTTTCGTGTTGTGTGGGTGAAAGAGAAAAAATGAACGGCGAATGGTTTCAGCGGAAATAAAAGCAATTCAGGACAAATCAAGTCTAAATAGAATTTCATTACGAGTTTATTCCTTGTTGACACAGTTTAGTACTAATGCATCATATGTAATATATTGACAAACATTATAAGGCTCCTAGGTCTATTTTAAGATGTCCTTGTATCGATTCTTAGCTCAAGACAGAAACCCACCGCCCAGTGTTTCAAGGAAAAAAAACGTTACTTTGGTTAATCAATATCAGTGGGCCTGTGGAGCGTCTTTTCTTCTTTGACTTTATAAATATACACCGAGATGACTTTATAAATATACACCGAGACGTTGGCTTTCATTGAAAGCAAGTATCAGTATATTGTTGTAATATAAATCGCGGCGATGTCTTCTTGTTCAATATTTTCCCAAAAAAACTTCAAAGGGGTTAGAAACCTTCGTAATAACTTGAAATCAGAGAATTCACTATTTAGGAATCAACTGGTAAAAATACGAATGTAGGTTTCATTTAAAATTTTCTCATCTATTTCCAATTCTCGCCAAGAAGATGGAAACGGTTAACTTTTACACGGATAACTTGAAAATTAAATGTGGTTCAAAATTAGAAATGTGATAACTTCTGCATGTATAGAGAATAGTGATTTTAATGTATCAATTTATTGATATCTGCTTTCTACACACGTAAGGGTTGACAACTTATCGAATTTCAAATTTCCCAAGAGTGGTGAACTTAAATTACTCCTTCGTGGCCTGTACGCTACCTTTGCATTTGACGGACGGCCGCCGTTAGCCTTTTACCACTGTGTATTAGCTTGGTAAAAGACATTGTAAACTCTTGTGAATACTTATTTTTCGCTGAAACCGGTCTGAAACGGCCAATTCTCAACCGTTCACCTCCACAAGTTAAGACTATTCTGGAGTATTTTCATGAGACTGACAGCTTCGACCCCTAGCTGACATTGTTCAAGTTACAAGATCATATTTTATCAAGCGTTGCAAAAACCGCAAAAAAAAATTGTAAGGATTGGGTTGATAAGATTACACCACGATATTACGAAGTGCCGTTCATACTCACCTCCATTAAATAGATGGAAAAGAAAGAGGAAAAAATCAATATGCAAAATATAGCGCAGAGTGAAATATTAACTTCTGTAATTGTCCGTAGAGTTCCAAATGTCTGTCAACCGCTTCAGTGACGACCATACTTCGGGACCTACGGCTTTTCTGTTGCGTTAAAATGCCAGTCAAAGATTAGTTGCGGTTCTGTTCGAGATCCGTTCGTTTCAACCGAGAATGAAGACAGAGTTTTTAGAGAAAATATTCGTTCAGACACCTTACATAAGGTCATTACCGAATACCTTCAAAATTGTTGTTTACAAATGTAATTGTGGCAGTATTGGATTGGAATACGTAGCCAAGGAAATTGTAAAGCGTTTTGCACGTGAGCAAGAATTTTGCGCGCTTTCTAACCAAACGACTCTTGAGTAGATAAATGATGCCTTATTCCGGCTTAGACTTAAAGGCTAAGACGCATATATGCATATCTTTTTTGTCAAATTGCGGAAACCAGTTGTGACCTATGTATTATTTGTTTGTCGGTTCTTCCCAGAATTTTAGAAAGAATGCTTGTAAGAGTTTAAAGGTTTCCGTTTGGAGGCCTAAAACGAAAAAAAGGCAAGAATATCACATGTAATCGAAAGTATTTTTTATCAATGTTTCGTTTCCTAGAAACATAATCCTTATGTTTCCCGTGCATCGGTAAATAACTGCATTATCAACATGTAAATCTGTGATGCTTCATACCTAGATTACTTAACGCCGTGAACCAAGAACCATAGGAAAGGTTTGTTGTTTCAACTGACATGGATAAACAAAACTTTGTGTCAAAATCAAACATCCAAACTGGGATTTAACCATTAAAACTTGCTTAGGTGTCAGGTTGTTGAGATAAACACAATTAAGTCTGACAAATTCTCTTGAAGAAGTCGTGCACCCAAGCACTCAACCACATGATATTGCAAAACAGTTGTCTGAGTGATACAAATTTGGTAGTTTCCCTCTGGCGGGCAAAACGTGCTTCAAGACACGTAAAAGCAAAATCTAGCAAATTGGATACAAGCACTTAACACAAACTTACGACAATTAAGTTTTCTTGCTTGATCGGACGCAAACGAAGTATTAACGTTTGATTTAGTTTCAGCTATTGTGTAATCAAAACCTCATGATGGGTGTGCTTCAACACAGACAATTTGGAGCCAAGAGAACCATAAATGGTATGTCATGTCAACTCTATCATAAAGAGGCTTTGTCTTGCCGGGACAAAACATTTTTTTTCGCTGACCAAACAGGGACTTTGCTCACCCAACTAACGCTTACGTGCGAAGGAGGAAGCAAATTTAGCGTATGATGATCGTGTTTTGGTAAGCCGCTTCGTGGAGGCATTTTCTATTTTAAGCTTCGAGCTTTCTCTTTGGCAACAATAACAATAAGTTTTCAATTTCTTCCAAATATTTACGTTGGACTGTAGCAAGTTTTACACTTCCAACTAATTGAAGCCGTTTAAAATCAGCAAGAACTGATAGACCAAATTTGATATTATAGAACCAAAACTTCTCTACAAATATAAGTCTGTGGAACACCAACATACTTTAGCGTGGAATGTTAAATATTTACGGTGTACTTATGGAGTTTTAGCTTCATGAAGCTTCTTCAAAGCGAAAGGAAATTTTATTTGAAAACACCAAGTCACTCCGACAAAGGGCTTAAGACAATTCCTTCGTAAATTTCTGGAAAGCTTTTCCGTGACAAGCTGGGACGTGACTTCAATATGCATAATTAATCCCGCAAATTGTAATTTCGAAAGCTTAAAATAATCCTACTCGAAAGTCCCAAAAACTCCGAAACAAAAACAAAGTTTTTCCTCAATTCAACCGCGTCGGCTGACCACAAAATTGGCAAGCAAAACGGATGAAAAGGTTGTTAATACATCGCGGTTCCAAATACGGAAACCCTGCTAATTCTTTGTCGAGCATTGTTGACTTTGGTCCAAACAGACGACATGATTGAAATAAACAGATTGGTTTTATTTCTCCTTTTATAACTTCCTTGAGTAATTTGCTTAAAGGGAAAGAATAACAAGTATACTGCGGCCTTAACAACCTCGGAAATTATCGTTCAGAGAAAGCGGGTACCCGGATGCACTGAAACGTACTTTCAAAAGCTTCTCGTAACAACTTCTTTGAGCAATGTGCTCAGAAAAATTGTTATATCTAAAAATTTGTCAATAGCTCATCTCGGTGGCAGTTTAAGAAATATCATCTGTCGCTGTTTCCGCGTCAATTTTCGCATCATAGAATCATGTTTCGTAGTTCCTTATCTCCTTTTTGATACGTCTCTGCATGTCTGACGCTAGATACCAGGACCTTGAAAATCCGTGTGGGAGAAAGGGTAACCGAGGAATAGAGCTAGAAGCTCTTCTGAGGCCTCACTCGGTCATGACTTCAAGAGTATCCTCCGGATGAAAAGTAAATATCAGAATTAAATCATTATCTTCCTTATGGCACAGGCAGACCACACAATGTGTTCGTGGCTAATTATTGAAGACAAACAAAATTGATGGGGTAATAAATAAAGACCTGAAAATTGCATATCTAAATTACATCTCGGTCTGAATGTCTGACCTTTCGTGAATTTCTTCCTGATGTGCCAAAAATTCAACGAAAAAGGTTTAAAAACATACACTTTTAAACAATTTCGAAGCTATCCGTGTCTCCGTAGCAACAAAGATCGAGGACGCGCGAGCAAGTTCCCAACTTTCATTTAGACGCCAGTTTTTGCAAAGTTGCGTATTTAGCCGGATATGCATGGCGTCTCGAAATTCAAAACCTTATCAGTTAAGCGAGAAGAGAACAAGGTTAAGCGTTTGAGAGGAAGCGCAACGCGACATACTCTGCAAGTCACCACTGGTAGGAAAAGTTATATGTGGCACTTTGTTCATTCAAGGCTGACCAAGGGCTAGCCTGTCAGTAAAATAAAATTTCGTTCTTATCTTCAGCACTTTTGCGAAATGTACGTCACAACAAACTGTAGAAGATTCGCAAATCAAATATAATAACTTTAAGATGCAAAGTCCGAAAACAGGTATGGATTTTAATGGTCAGGTGCGTTGAAAGGGTATCTTTTGGTATGAAAAAGAGTTGCGATCTCCACCAAGAATTCCGAGGGGCAAAACTCTTCCCGGGCTTACATTACTGATAAGATCCACTTTAAATTTCATTTCGGTGCCTGTTACATTTCACATGCCACAAACGTCAAGTTACAGTGTTTCTATTTCATGATTTTACGATTTCCTCGCTGCTCTGTAGTGCATCTGCGATAATGTTTGCGGGAGGTTCTCTGTATGGAATTCTCATAAAATCGCCGTAATACGATTTGAGAATTTTTCTCCAATCGCGAGGAGCTGGCATCAAAAAGCCATCGAAATTCACTTCTGTCGAAGGAAAAACGTCACTTTCTTTTTTTTTTTTTTGTTTATGGGTCCGTAGATAAATTTTCGTAAAAACCAAGTGGTGTGGCTGAACAATTCGATGAAGTTTCCATGGCTGTCCTTCTCGCTCACGTTCTCCAGACAACGCAAAGTTTGGTCATTTCTGGTCATTGCGTCAGAGGACGCAAACAAATTTACAACGATTTTGAATACAAGAGCACAGCCATTGCTCTACTCATTAAACCTTCTTGTGTAGAGACGTTCCCGTTGCCCTGGTAGTTTTCTTAAACTACCTATTGTCGCCGTGAAGAAGAAGAAGAAGACCTTAATGTATTCAGGGTAGCCCATTCAGATGCCTTAAGCACTGCTATCAATTGGGGCCCTGATAAAAATTAAAATGATAAGAACTACACAATCATGCTAAAATACTACTTCTAAAGGTAAACCCTTGGAAAAGTTATGTTAATCTTAAAATATGGGCCGTATACAATTACAGTAAAAATGAACAAAATCTTAAAACATTAAAAATTTTGCTTATTAAAAATTACGGAACCATTTTAATAAAAAGGGTTTTTAGCTAAGTCAGATTTAGCTTATTAAAAATTACAGAACCATTATAATACAAAGAGTTTTTAGCTAAGTCAGTTACGCCGTGGGGTGCAACAAAGCCGGCAAAGCCGTTACGTACATTACCCTCCACATGAAAGTCTTTAAAATAATCTTAAATAAGGTTAAGTTAAAACTCAAAGCTCCCAACACCGTTATACTCAAGTAAGCAGGAACCTATAAGTGAAACAAACGTACATGCCCTGTACCAAGTTATCGACTTTGGAAAGGTCGGTATAAAACGAAAAAAAAACCCTTTCTATTTACTTCTGAAATTCTTGAAGTAAGTCAACATTTTGGACCTTCTCCTTTTTCTCTGAGAAATGCTTTACTAGAGCAAATGCAAGTATCTAAGTAGTTACTGCGAGAATTTTATTAACCTTGTCACTCCCAAGATTTCCTCAGTAATTCTCCCTTCTGTTTGCAATACAAGTCTTACGAAGTTAGTTCGGAGAATTTGGTATTGGGTCGACTAATAATCCCCTTATTGATATTTTTAATTATTCTCATCACATGTCCGCTTGATATTGTTTTCAGTTGTAAGGAGAAATTCTGTCTTGGTCACTCGTGGGAGTTAAAGGGTTACCTGTATCCAGCGAGTCCCGAAATTCACTTCTGGGAGGATTTAATTAGTTGATTTTTTTTTCTTGCAGCTTCTCTCGTAAAGTCGAATCTTGATCATGAAGTTTTTACATCCCCCTCCCTTTTTTCAGCAGTCTTAAGGCCTCTCCTTTTACAAAGTCTTTGTTTATTCTTGGTTAATGGCAGGAGTTAAACAAGTGCATACTGAAATGTCTTGGTCGGTTTCACTAGAAATGGGTATGCACATCAAAGATATTAACAAGTAGTAACTTTTGTATTGAGATGCTCGTCTGAGCCTTTTACAAGCAATGAGCACGGAATATCTGCCAATAAAATAATTATGTCTGAAATTTGGTTGATTGTTAATTCAAGGATATAGGAGATAAGGAATTTTTTTTGCTGTTTTTGCGTTAAAGTTTCCTGAATATGATCAAATTTCGTGCTTTCTCGTCTCGACCTTGATCACTTACCACGGTGATCCATCCGTCAGTCCGCAAAATGAAATTAGATAGTTTATTTTGAAGGGCTGGAAGTAACGATTGAAAATCAATGGTCATTTAGGCAAACAACTGATTAGCCATCCTCTCGACTTATGAAATGTAAAAGTCTGCAATCAAAGATTCCTGAACGATGTCCATAAACATCAACTTTGATATACTTATGAAGTTATTTTACGTATACAATATGAAACAGCCCATAACACAAACCTTTTCTTCCAGCTACTTAGTTAACAATTTTTGCTGGTCATTTTACTGACGACAAACAAACGTAAGTTCCATGGGGAAAGTGAAGTCTGAGTCCCTTTTGAAAGTTATTGTCCAGTTGAAAAAACCCTCGCGTAAGGGTAGAAGAAGCTCTAAATCAGGGTCATTTACAATCAAGTCCTAGTTGAAAAAACGCCCTTCTCTGCCGTGGACACCGGTACCCTACGGGCTCGTGTATTTTTGTTGTCTTTAAAAAATTTCACTCGTGCTTATTAACACCAAATCGCACTTGAAATCACGTAGTTGCTTATACAAATCTTGGTCTGTCACAAACCGGAGGAGGAGGCAAATTTAGTCAAAGAGTTGCATGAGTATACTCACTTTTGTTTATGTGTTTGTTTTTTCTTTCTTTCTTTTTATTTTCCGTATCGTCCATTTTATTTAGCCACCCAACCCTCATTGCTCTCATCAAGAAAGCAGAAACGATTGCGATATAACGTTTTCGAAGGGTATTTAAACAACAACATCCGCTGCAGGCTACCGCTCGTTGAGAAAGGTATTTGGCACAATGTTCCTTCAAGGCTGACCAGGGGCGATACAGTACCTATGCATATCGATACATCTCTTAATATACAACAGAATCTGAATTAGAAAAGTTTGAAGGAAAGAAGAACAGCAAGTAACTGTGCGACTACTGAGCGTGTTCTGATAAATTTTAGCTTTAAGTACATGTTTTTTCATTTTACCAACTCAAGTATGAATACTTGACCCTGTCAGAAAAACTGGACCTTGCGTGGCCAGGCTCCTGTTGGAGGGACTGGGGAGAGGATAACAGGATAAACGAAACACTCAATGTTCTATAGCACGCCCTTCATACTCTGTTAGCGACGACCACTCCCCCTCAAATGCCTAATAACGCCTAATCTATAACTGAAAAATCGAACAACTTGAGGATTTCTAAACAGAGAACTGCGCCAAGCGCAACGTTTGATAAACTGATATAAGAAGTGACAATGCTTAAAAGAAACTGGCTTTAGATACAAGAGGACCGCGAAATAACGTGCGAAAAGATATAACTGATGGATAAAACGCTAAAAAAAACTTAACCGAAAAACATAAACGAGGAGGTAACTAAAGTACAGAACAAAATACGGGGGAGAGAAGGTTGGCGACCCCAGGAAAACTTGACATTTTCGGGTTTCCAAAAGTCAATATTAGAGCTGCCATCATGTGAAGCTTATGCTTTCGATCTATTATAGATTTGACATGTTTATATGGCGCAGACTTTACGTTGTATTCCTTCTTTTTTTCAAGATTTCACTATTTCCTCGCAGCTCCTCAATGCATCTGTATCAAGAAAGGCGGGCGACTTCCCGTATGGTATGCTCATAAAATCGCCGTAATACGATTCGAGAATTTTTCTCCATTCGCGAGGAGCTGGCATTAAAAAACCGTCGAAATTCACTTCTATCAAAGGAAAAACGTCGCTTTCTTTTCTTTTTATAGGTCCGTAGATAAACCTTCGTAAAAACCAATTGGTGTGACTGAACAATTCGATGAAGTTTCCATCGCTGTCCTTCTCCAAGACTAACATATCTATCATAAGACCATCTGCGTGCTTACAGCCGCTGTGCAAACAGTATTTATAACAGCTTTTGGTGTCGCGTAATTTCCCCAGCATCCCGCTCTGCGGCGGAACTTTGTAATGAACATCTGTGTCCTCTGTTTGAAAAAATATATCTTCTGGAAGCTCACTGACACCGGACTTGATAAATGTTTGATAGTCTATTTTGGGGATACAAATGTCTACGTCATCGTCAAAAGGATTATGTCCGCTATGTCGAACGGCACCCAGCAGAGTGCCTTTACAGAGCCAATATTTAATGCCGTGCTTCTTGGAAATGATATCGAAGATCCGAAGAACCCTTGTGAGTACTAGTTGAGCTCGTCGAAGCGATGTCGACCCTTTGCTGCGAATATCAGGGCAGTAAATGCTACCATCTGCTTTCGACTCGCACTTTCCTAGCCTCGTATAAGGTATTGGCTGCCAATCTATCTGCTGTAAGCGAAGTTGGTGAGGCAGCGACGTGGATAGCGTTTTCGTCCCAAGTAACCATACGGCAAGCACAAGCAAGAACAGCGCAACGAGCTTCCTCTTAGGACGTAGTGGCCTTGTAAGGTTTTTCCAGTACCGTGATCTCGAGTTACAAATGGATTTTCACATAGTTAGTAGAACTCTCAACTTGTGCGATGTCGAACGAAAGTTTATTAGGCCATTTCCGAACTACCCTTAGCCTCTTTTTCAAAACGAGGCCGGTTCTCAACCAATTGTATGAAAATGAGTTTAATTTGCATGTGAATAAAAACTAGGATGAACCCTAAGACTTGCGTTGAAGAGGAGGCCAAAGGTAACTCAGAAATGGTGGCTCCCGGAAAAATCGTCCTAGGAGGGCTACTTTAAAAGAAACCATGGAAAACTATATATCACTGTGAAGCTTACAGTATATAGTTTGAACCCGGGGGTAACATGTAATAATGTAGTTTGATCGTTCGGGTGAGTGTAGTCCTGAGAAGGACTGTTGTCGGTAGTGGTGACTGACGTTTCGACAACCTGAGCGGAAGTCATCATCAGAGTCAAATCAAACTATACTATTACTGTGAAGCTTGTCAAGTAAAGATTCTAACTAGTTTTAACAGTTTCTGTTTCGGTAAGCATGCGCAAGCCTTTAAACACAAAACTAACGGTTTCGATACAACTGAGGTACCAGCCTCTGCGTTGCCGCGGACATCCAAACAAACTTGACTGTATCGGTGTGTAGATAATATGGTAGCGCAGTGCGTGAAGTTTTTTCGATATTCCCATGGGTTCCTGAGAAAATACATCGATTGTTTCACGCGCAGGAATATCACAAGGTTTCGTTATGGCCTCACACACTTTGGTGCCTCCATATCCGGCGAATATTAATTTTCTAATAATAATAATGATGATAATAATATTAAAAAATTTTTAACGTAAATCTTAATATCCTTTTTTTTCGTTTTTCCTTCTTTTTGGGTGAATTTTACTATTATAATGATAATGCCTCATTCACTCCTGGTGGAAAATGTTTCGTCACATATTGTCACGAACGTCTCTATTTTAGTTCTGTATTTCGTTTCAAGTTTGATGGCTTAGACCGCGCTTTTTTTACAAATGTGATTTTGCTAGAGCATTTTTGTCGACATAAAAAAATAAAGCATTCGTTCTTGACGGATCTCGAAGTTATTGCAATATGCATCATTTTACTTTTAGCTACTTCATGCGTAACAATTATATTTTTGAATACTACATGCGCAAATGACTTGAATATATTTCTCTAATCAAGTCATTTTGGCAGTCAATTTGTGTGGATGGTACATTAGTCATATATATCATATACAGAATAATACATGGGCGCGCGTAGATATGGAATTTCTTTTCGAGTGTTGAACACGAGAATAATTCCGAATCTATAAGCAACCATGAATTATTTTGTTTATCATATAAACACAACAGCCCCTTACAGACAATGAAAAGTCAACTTTATCATTGAATGAAAGTAAAAGGATCGACAATCCCCAAATAAAAACGCGTTGGCTCTAAGGCTTACATGAAAAAATGCGTTGGAGCACTACAAAAACAAACCGTAGACGTAATTCTCAACATACGAAATTCTCAGTTATTGACTTGCTCCGCACCGAAAGAGGAAATCTTTCAGATACACGGCCAAAATCGCCCTGTGGCAAATCTTCCAGTTGTCGTTTTCGCCGCGAGAATGCCATTACCAAAGCCACTGAATACGTAACTTTCGGTTTTTCTTTCCGTACTTTTTTTGAACGTCACTGTCTTAAAGCGATACGGATTTTTCAGTGTTTTGGGAGCCATAATCCGAAATAAAATCCGACAAACCACCTTGTATTGAGAATCGTGAAGGCCTTGCTGTTCATTCATCAATCTGACCAAGTGGCGCGAAAGGCGAGTGACGAGTTGGCAGCTGATTTGTTACAGCAAACATATGTGAAAAAATACAATATTTTTTCACATGTGTTGGTACGGCTTTTCGCAGGGCTAAAAATCCTTGTATAACACCATAGTTAATGTGATGAAAGATTATACTATTTTACATTCATAAGCTATATATAATTGTCATACAATAACTAATTGATTGCCTATTTTATCAATTTTAACGAAATCATAGAAGTATAAAGGTTTTACAGTGCATCTCATTTGTCTTTACCCTGCAAATAAACAATAACATATCTGACATTGTCAATTCTGAATGAAATTTGAAAGAATACAGATGAACGAGTTGATGCAGAAACTTTGTATAATTCTCTCAAATGGTTCTGTTTTGTTTCTTGAGAAATTAGCAAACAAATGAATCATAAAGAGTGTCTTTGAGTGTTAACTTGGTACCCATCAAAGAAATCGATTAACAACGACTCTTCCTGCATCAGCATCAACATGTTTGAGAATCAACTCATTATCATTTTGCAGTTCAATATTAAACTGTAAATGCATTGGTACTGACATTTTGTGTTCTAAATCTTCAAAAGAGCTATAACGATTTAGGGGAATTGACGCGTTGACATTGGCAGCACCGACAGTCAAAGCTTTTCTTGCACTAAAACCAGTATTTGTATTTGCTGCAGTACCATTTGAATCTAAATACCATCAAAAACTGTGTTTAGCAACGGTTTAAGGCATCACTGTAGTCGAGATTTTTGACATTTACTACTCTGTTCAAGTTATTTTTGTCGTAAACAATCTAACCATAATATACTTCAATAACCTGTGGGAACCATTAATAACTGTGATTCTATCACCACCACCACCACCACCACCCTAACCAGTTCCCTCACCAATTTTCTGTAATTGAAACTGTTCTCCTAAATTGGCGTTGTACCAATCAAAAAATTAAGATCTATCGTTTATCGTGAATCTATGACTGCTTTTTTCATGGTACTGATTATTAGCTGGCATGCGTATTACGTCATCTAACTGAAAAGGAACCATCGCATTTCTTCGTAACATATCGCTTGAGCGGAAATTTGAAATTGTATATTATGTTAGAAAAAAAATTCTTGTCGCAACCTCTTCAATATCACATGTGCATTAGAGCCAGTTTGTTTCTTGCTTCTACTTAATTTTTTCATTATGTAATCACCTGATATCTCACCAATTTCCTTCCCAACATGTTCTGTCCCTGATTTGAGTGCTTTTTGTACAGGCTTCGCAACTTTGGAAAATAATGTACTAGCAATTTTTTTTAACATTGGTTACAAGTACACCTGTCCCTTTGAACTTGTTAACAAATTTTCCTAAAGCTGGAGGATAAATTCTCTTGAACTCATATGGCCTCATAATCGTGGTTTCAATAAAATTGAAAAAGAAGTATCAGATCCACATAAATCAACAAATCTTCTTTTTCCATCCGTGATATAAATCCTTACTGAATCCATGTTTGTGTTGTTGAGTGGTGAATCAGTGACTCTTTGCTTCCATTGTAAAACTAAGTGAAGGTTGCAAGACAGCTGTTCAAAAGCTGGATATTGTGTCGCTTTCAGATCCATCAACGAGAGAATTATTCGTATGGTCACATTTAATATTCATCAATTCTCTGTCTTGACTTAAATTTGGAATAAATGATAAATTTGGGATAAATAGACCAAGAGTATTTTCATCCTTAACAATTTTTTTTCATAACCAATTAATAAATTAAAATCACTTACACTCAGATCAAGCTGGTAACCTTGTTTCATAGGTATTTCAACTCTGAACAAAACTTCATTAAATGTTAATGTTATTGGATACTCATCTTCTTCGCCATCGTTTGTAATTACAGTTATCAATTACAGTTATCTCATTGGAAATCTCTGTCTAAGCCCAGACACCACTTGCAAAATTAATGCCATTGAAAGTATTTCCATTGTCGTTACTACATTTTTTTAACTGGTTATTATTGTTCGATTCAAACCAATGTTATACCCCTAATTTGGATCTAAAGATATTGTACGACTTAATTTTCTTCTAAAATCTTCTGGTTTGTTGTTATTAACATCTTTGACAGAATAAGATGATAAAACTAGTTCTCTTTCCATACTATATCATTAATTTATTGTTCAAAGGTTTTTTTGAATGTTCATTTTTACTTAAATTTTGGTTTAAAGTAACTCATCATATTTCTTAAAACGGGTGACGTAACGCCTGCATTACTCAAGAAGTGGGGAGAAACACTCGACTACGTCTCGTGTTTCTCCCTACACTTCTTTCGTGCTCGAACCGCTTCCCGCGTGCTTTATAACAGAACAGAGCGCAGTCAAGGCTTCTCTATTTGTTAATTATCTTGCATATTTTCTTCATCAATAACACCATTATCATCCTTTTTCATCATCAACATCATCTTCATCAATTGCATAATCACGCTAACCATAATCTTCATAAGATGGAGGAAGGTCAATATCTGGATTTATGTAATATTCTGGATATTCAGGTGGTTAAAGGCGCAGTTTATTTTTCTTTTCGTGTTTCAACACCTTCAAACAAACCATCAAGAGTCACGTCTTCAACTTCATCACCGCTATTATGCCATAAGCAGGCACAAATTATCGTGGTTTTATTTTCTTTTTCTGTTTAGGAGTTAATAAATTGGTTAAGAAGACATCGTCTAGTGTTTTCTCACGATTTGAAATATTAACTTTCTTACCTAACTTATTGTCTAATATTGTTTCATTCACTTTATTAATTTCTTGCCTAATTCAGTTTTACTTTTCGCAAGTTTAGGCCAGTTATCAAGACTCATGATATAATATTGCAGAAGATAAAAAATTAAGTGATCTATGAATATTGAAATACTACCACTACTTTAAGTCACACTTCAAGTTTTGGCAAAACTAAAACGTTATTTTAACTTATTATATAATGAAAATAAATAATTATAAAACAGAAGAAGATCAAATTTTAAACATATATATAAATTCATGCCAAATAGCCGCTTTAGAAGGTTAATATGTGCACGTTCAAGAGCTACTTCTCGACATGATATATAGATTGCGACAATTTAATAAAATCTATCTTTACTCAAAAAAAATTTGAACAAAGCAAATATAGAAATTTGATTAAAAAATTTGATCCAATAAGTAGAGGTGTAGGATATGTAGCTGAAATAAGTAATGATGAAATTATACCAACTAAAATAAAATCGTTTATCGAAATATTATTTTATAATTATTTTATATCATTATCCATATAACTAAAGATTCTGTTGAAGATATAATTAAACTTTACAAACCTTTTAATCTCCATCTGTACCATTTGGCGTTAACGGTAAAACTCGTTTATTTCGTTGTAGCTCGGCATGATATGGTGCTTAACCTTATCCACGCGATATTTTCTTTGGTAGTCTGATTTTCAAGATATTGTAATTTGAATAACAATAGCCTAGAAAAACACTCATAATTAATAACCTGACCGCATGGACAACATTCATTCCATTATCATCAAACTAACTCTTGTTTTTGACAACATTTGTCATCTGTTTTAACTTCTTTATCCTTTTTAAAATAGATCTTATCAAATCGATCAAGTAAATTCATAAATATATATTCTATGAGATTTATTTTCAAGTTAAAACAGATTATGCTCGATTGCCACGTGTGAAACAACGATCACAATACGTTATTCAAATTGAAAACAAAGCTTAAGTAAAATAATTGATTCTCACGCTATCTTCTAAAAATATATTTTGGTCTTTCAAAGAATCAGTCGTGTTGAAGCAGCAGAACAGTCAACATCACACAATAAAAAAGGAGCGATTTCTACATTTAAGACACGATCTTCACAAATTAATGGAAACTTTAAAGTACAAGACGCTGTTGAAAGCGTTAACCCTCTAACTCCCACAAGTGATCGACAAAAAACTTCTTCCTTACATTATGCAGTAAATAGGTGGTGAGAATGTTCAAGCTTATCAGTTAGTTGTTATCTTGATCTGACACCAAATTCTCATTACTAATTTACAAGGAAATGTGTAGCAGCTTGAGGAGAGAATTTACAATTTGATCTTGGGAGTTAAAGGGTTAACTCTAGCCTGCTTGATAAGTATATAAGCAATAAGGAGCAAGTCTTTTCATGGCAGCATGGGTGTAGGTATTGGGACCATTGCAGCCATGAGGCAAAAGGTAAAAAAGTGCTAATTACTGACTGCCTTTGCACTGGTGGATGAAATGACAAATGCTAAGGATTATGGGACCTAATGGCAAAAATATAAAATGACAATGTACTCAATATCGGAACTTGATAAATGCAATAATTATATTAAAGGTCATATCAGTACAAAAAATTATGTGCATCTTGACTTTTATGAGAGCCATTTGTCGGGAGCTCATCACTCGGAAGTCTATATGGGCTGTACGCTTGAGTCAACTCTTTCCCGTTTTAATTTATTTCTATAACTAGGTTTCCTACGAAACTGTGGGTACATCATAATTCACACAATTTTCATCCAAAAAAATCTGATCACCCTTCTATGCTTTCCATCCATGGTGTCAAAGATTTTAATTTTAAAATCATGAAATCAAATATGTAAACGAGCATGGTCTTAGCTCCACCCAGATTGGTTAGTACTGTAGAAATAAAGTAACAAATATCTCCGGCGTAAACTACTTCTATAAATACCTTAATCTAAACCTTTAAGTTCAGTTATTCCATATAAATTTTGAAAGTATTACACTACATTATCTTTATATGATATATCTAACAGTACACAAGTTCCTTCGGGATGACTCTTACCATAAATATCTCTAGCACGAGAGTCAAACACTTAAAAAAATGGTCATCATCAGGAAAGTAAACGAAGGCAACAGTAATACAACCAATTGTCAAAATTAATTACTTGTATTGCTCTGATATCAATGGCTCAAAAGCTCTTTTTCAAAAGCTCTTTCTAGGCCTGCACAGTATGGAATCATTTATTTCCTTTAAAACATCATTTTGATGTACACACGGCGCTGTTTTGTCAAAGTGTTGTCTACATAATTTAAGTAATACAACAGTTTCGTCTGATCCCATCTTATTTGAAACAACACAAATATTATAGCACATAACGCGTTAATAATTTTCACACAAGTGACAAAACTAATGCAAATAATGGCAAAGGAAATATAGCATAATGTGCCTAATTTGAGCAAAACATACTAAATGTAATCATTATGATAAAGGTCACATAAATACCATTACGAGTGTCTTCACTTTGATGAGAGCTACCTATGCAATCCAGCAACATGGCGTCCGTAATATTGTTTCCTGCTAATTGATCAAGCTGCATCATGTCTTTATAAGCGCCGAACAGGAGCGTTAATGTTCTTTGGTCGTCTTTAGTTATCAGCTGTCCAAATTTTTCAATCATTGATAACTCGTGTGATTACAGGTTTGATTCTGGTAACACCTTGGCTAAATCAATTGATTCCCTTGCTATTTTGATTTTGCGGAACGATCCGTTTCGAATTGTATGGTCATTGCCAATATTGCTAAGTGTCTCTACTGCGAATAGCTTACATTGAACAAGTGAAAGAGAAGTTTTTAAATAGTATTCAACGTCAACAGTTCCACCGATTACAGTGATATGGAAGTCAAGATTGGTGATGGTAACCAATGTGTAGTAACGATAAAAAATTTGAAGCTGCTTTAATGATGGAAAAAGACGTATATGATATTACTTATGCCTTCAAGGACAAACGTTCAAAAATTGAAAGTCTATAATAATACAGGGTTGCTTGTAGATATTAAATTTCTCCTCTCGTGTTCAACTCGAAGAGAAGTTCCATATCTATGCGCGCCTATGTATTATTCTCTATATGATGATAGCACTGTGGGAGTTATTAAGCACTTAACAAGACAAATGTGCTATTTCTGATGCTTTTAGTTATCGTACAATTTTAAAAAAGTGAGTTAAAATTCGTGGGCAGGATAAATAATTGTGAATTTTAGTACTTTTTACATTAAAATCCTAATGCAAAAGACATTTGAAATACATTCGATGATAATCTCCTCCGGATCGAAGCCGGGGGAGATTATCATCCCCGGCTCCCCCCGGATCCCTCTAGCTTTTCTTGTGAAAATTTGAAAAATTTGAAAAATTCGTTCAGAAAAATATGTTTTGTTGGCTTTAATTCTGTTCCAAATGTATTGAAATGAATTCAAGTTATTAGGACGTTTTGAAGTTCAATTATGAAGCAGTAAATGCAAAACCTCTTTTGATCAGTACTTCTATAGCATGTTGCGAAGCGCTCTTTCCATTCCGTTTATGAGCCCCCTGGGATATAAACTCCTCCGTTTAGAAGCCCCTCCGGTTACAAGCCCCCTGGTATATCAGCCCCTCTCTTTATAAGCTTTGTATCGGCGACAGTTTATGGTATCCATGCAACTCTTCCGCTATCGTTTGGTAGAGCGTGAACGAATTATATTCGTACTAGGAGAGGGGCGATAAAATATCTTGGCAAATATAAACTTTGAAAACCTGAGACAAGGCAATCTCACAATGACAGGCATATTCATGTTATGGAGTTCTTAACTAGAGCTTAAATTTCGAATTAAAGTTACTTTCGAGAGAGAGAGACGCTGATATACTCTCAGTCACGAATTAGGTATGTGTCTTGCGCTATTTTGAAGAGTTTCCTGCGAGGTGACAATTCAATTGCGTAATATAAACCTTAGAAACATACGAAGACCTTTCTTTCGATATAATAAATACGTGATATGATAGAATTCTGAGATATGGCACTTTATTAAAATGACGAGCAATTTGTCTGACCGATTGTCCTAACTTTCGAGAGTACTCTCCTTTGTGTATGGTTCAAAACCACTGATCAAGCAATTCTTAAAAAAAATTACGTCCACACAAGAAAGAGTCTATTAAATAGTCTACAGTGTTAAAACTGTCCAAGGCCAAATATCTTTGAACTGGAATCGAACGAAATATAAATATACCTCAGGGAAAGAACTACATAGCATTTCTAATCTTAAATGGGGCTACGCGATCGAGAAAATAGTGAGAATTAAAATTCTTGAGCCTTTCCGAAAAAACAGAGACACAGAAGCGTACTGCGGAGTCTCAGAAGACTCTCAACAGAAACATTTTGCAGCTACCTATCAGTTACGTGTTGCCGGAAAAAAAAGGGTTCATGAGATATCTTTCTCAAAGCGATGACGAGCTCATGTCGCTGGTTATGCTATTGCAGGATGGTACAGCAAAGATCACCAATAAACTTCCCAGTAGGAGAATGTGTTACCGCTTCGGTCAGAAGGCAGAACGAACCTGGATAGGCTGCAAAGAGGGATTTCCACCAAGACCTACAAATAAATCATATTTAGACATCGGTCACAAAACTGTCTCGCTTTTTTTCATTTATCAATAGAGTGTGCGACCATTGGAGTAAACATTAGTTCGTGCCTTTAGGAAGGTTCGGCCGTTTGGTGTAACTAGCCAAGAGTAAGAGCTGAGGCTGCTGAATCTGAAATTTCCATTCGGCCTTGTCTGGAAGAGTAAACTTCAAAGCCATGTGCCTCAATCATTTGAATTCAGAGTTGTTATATATTATTTCCGCAATCCTCGAAATAAGCTTCAGTTCTTGTTGAAGAAATTTCATAAATTGAATTCGTGAATGTGTGCTTTTACTCTTTTAAGGCACTTTTAACATCAGTTTGCATTTTCTCCACACTGTTCTCTGTACACTTCCCAGGGTGCCAACAATGAGGATCTGTTTAACAATCAAGAGTTTCTTTAGATGGCAATCATTTCCTTTATTCTCATGACCCTAATGTGTGATTCAGGGGGGTGACATTGTAAGGAGAATTGTCTGCTGGTCACTCCTAGGGTCATAAGGTTAAACCTGTTTCTAAAATCTAGGGGTTGTTATACGTAGGGTTTCATGCTACTTACCATGGCGATTCAAGTTCGTATCTTGACGTTCCAAAACTAATCCTTGAGCGTGTATCGTGTAAACAAACGATGCAAACGGCGCCACTGGAGACTTGGAAATCAGAACCTGTTTTTAGAAGAAGAGCAAGAAGAAGGAAGAATCTAGTGAGGAATGAGTTTCTTAAACGATTCGTTTTCAGGACAAAATTGACAGATCACCAATCTTGAAAGTCAATACCTGACGAAATCTTTCGTCCAAATACTGTACAATCAGACGAGTATTCACCGCATGTGACCACGTGTTACCTAACGCAGCGGTCACGTGACTACCATCGTCCTCCTCGGGCTCAACGTCTGCGCCGTCGACGTCCTGGAAACCCTCGTTTCCACTGGAAGTCCCCGCACCAATGAAACGAGTAGTGATTTGATTAGTAACGACAACCTAGAATAGTCGAGACGCAAAGAATTGACTCAAGGTGTTCCATTTGTGGCACATTTCAGCTCAACAAAAAGTTGTGAAGCGTAAATCGACCGTACATTTCTCGAGACGACTGCGAAATAATTTACCTAATTGGTATTATTTCATAAATCAGGAAGGCTGGTCGCTTACAAATGCATCGTTTCGTTCAAATGGCTATCCTACCTTTTTTCCCTTCCTTTACTTCTTCCTCTCTTTTTTTGCCGTCCAGTTCTTTTCTTTGCAATTTTTATTTCGTAATTCACTCAAGGTTTTTACAGCAAAATAATTGTAGGTACTATCTTGATTTAGAGTACAATTTGGTGTAAATAAGCACGAGTAAATTTTTCAATGACAACAACATTGCACGGGCCCTTATAGTGTTTGAAAAATTTACAAGCGCTTCTTTGCACCGAATTCACGAGTAATCATGTTATCACTCATTACCAATTTAAAGAAAAAACCATCACAGCAAGTCAAGACAGACGAAATTTCGACAATACTCGAGCGCTATTGGTGATTTGCAGTCGTGTTACAACCTGGCACTCGTATTACAACTTTGCACTCGAGTCACAATTTTGCACTCGTGCAACACGAAAAAATGCACTCGTTTTCAGCCGATCAGAAGCGCGTTATTCTTCAAAGTATGTGCTTAGAACAGGTACAGTATACCTTTAGCCTCGTTTATTAGACATCTTACCGGAATATGGAACGTCTCAGCAATATATCTGAAAAGTAGACAGACAAGTGTACTATTTGTTTGTTCACACAAATGTAAATGCAGTTCATGATAAATAAATAAGCTTTTTTCCTTTCAAGGTGCGAAAAGCATTTAGAGGGGGCTTATCTCTTTAGAGTGGAGAGACAAGCACTCGACATTGTTTCATCTCTTCCCGCGTTCACCGCACGCCCTACAGGAAGCAAGTAAACTTGACAAAAGTGGTGTTTGGAGAAACAGTTTTCCGATTTATCTTGTGCCACGATTAGTTTCATCATACATTTCACTGTTCATGGCAGGCCTACAGTTTTTCTAAATGGAAAAGAGGATGATGCAGCAAAACATGTTTCATGTACGGGCGTAGGAAAAGGCTGGAAAACATGCTACTAGTATCAAGAGTGCGAAAAGATCCCCAAGGCCAGAGTCGAGGCAAGCTCTACTACTTGCCCCTGATTGGCAAAAGTCACATTTTGCTTTGTCTGCTAGGTAAGAACGTGCGGAGCGCCCGTATTAAATGAAAGCCCGTAAATTCTTTCCACGCTATTTGTAAAAAATCTATTCTACGACCTACAGAGTACATGAGATGATGTTAGTGCAAAGCATACATATTTGAAATAGTTGCCCGAGAAAAGTCTCCTTACTTTAAAATGGCCGCTTCTTTGGAAAGAAGCGCTGTTCTTTCGTTCAAGTTCCTGAACAGCCTGCTGTCAAATTCCTTCCTTACAAGCGAAGCGACGGAGTCCAGAATGACGAGCTTTACACGTTTAGAAATAACCTCCTCTTCAAGTCTCTGAAGCCTAGTGAAACAATTCCGATCGATAATTAAATGCTTTGTCTGTTTCACCCGGTATAACTTGAGATTTTTTCAACCTCGTTCCCAAGGTCTTTTCTCTTCCTCCCTCAATGGAGGAAGAGAGTGATGACCCTGTCTGATTTTTGTAAGTCCAGCGGTTCCTTAATTCATTTTATAGCTAGCAATTGGAAGGGGAAATGAGACTGACATGCTTGGCTTCCCAGACTGGCGTAGTATGCCCATCCCACCCCACACTGGATTGTGCATTTAGACTAATTTGTTCCTTTAAAATCAAAATTCTTTGTTGTCACCATTAGGCCAAATCATTTATTGAGTAAACTTCTTTAATCAAGATGGCTGAATGTCACAATCATTCTTTTCTTCACTTAGTGGGCCTGGCCTTTGTCTTGTTCTAAGAAAATGCTTATTAACCATTTACACATAGCCCTAAAAGAGACTGGCTTCTAATTTCTCATTCCAGTATCATCCTTACATCAAATATAAAGGTCATGACATTGAAGGAAATGATCACCAATTTATGTAGCTCCTGATTGTCAAACAAATTCTCCTCATCAGTGCCATAGGGAATGTAAAGAGAACAGTATGGAGAATATAGGGTGTAAAGGGTTATATGAACACTTTTCTTTTTAATAACTGTTCCCCCATGTATCTTGATTTTTTATCGCCATCAAGATTTAATTTCAGTTGCATTTTCTTCTTACTTGTTTCCTTTAGCATTTTAGTTTTGGTGCTCAGTAGTTTAACAAATACATAAAGAAATATAAATCATGATATGAGACCTTGAATGAATAATCATGAAAAGGACCAGTCAATAACATTACATCAAATATCTTACCTATCCCATAATGAGCTACAGGTAGATTCCCAGCACACATGTATCCTCTCTGACAGATGAAACAGTGACTCATTTGAGTTGAAAAGATCTGAAAACCGACTGGATGCCATTTCAATCAATCTATAAAGCAGATGTCAGTGAAATTTGAAAAAAACTGCAAACAAAAATAAAATTCAGGCTTTTATCTCTAAGGTTACCCCATGCTGGACACAACCTGGTTGCCAAACATCAGATGACACTGAACTATTGTGGCTAAGCTTTATGAGGTAAAACTTACATTGGGTGAGGCATAACTTGCAGCACAAAACAGGACTTAGGCCTGTTTATGTTACCTTGAGCCTTTAACTTTTAAGCTGGGGTCAGAGTTGTCCCTGGAACCCTTGTTAATTATATGTGATAAAATAGAGACTTGACACAGGACAACCAACCTTGTTGCACTGAATGCTGCCTCTGTGTCAATGTAGATAACACTGCCATCCAGTCCACCTCTGTCATAAGGTAGGGTGGCCAGCACACTAAGCATGATACAGAACTGTGTTTTACCACATCCTGCTGGGCCTGCTATCTATGTTTCATTAAAAAAAAAAAAAGACAATGAGATTAAGACTCACAGATAAGTCAAAATCACCCTTAATAGCTTGACTGCATTCTCAATCTGTTTATATAAAATAATTCTGTCAAAATAAGATGATATTTTTCTGTGATGATACAAAAATGACTGGCAGTAGCAGGACAAGAGTCAGAAATACATTTTATTCCTTTGTTGGGCGATAAAGAACTGTCTTTGGCCTATGTGTGGAAATGATCAGCTTGCTACATCCAAAACAAGTGTATTTTGCAAATTTACAATTTTTAAGTTACACCAGAAGCAACAATATGGTGTGTGAGCAAAAAACTATTTGTCTCTTGCAATTAACCTCTACACTTTGCAAACCACGCAGAAACACAGCAGTTTTGAATCATTTCATTTTATTCATTATTGAAAAATAATTCTTCTGGTCTTTCTCACACTAAAGGAAAATCAGATAACTGTGCCTATGCTGTGACTTTGGAGTGATCATTTGATATACTCTCCTAGAGTAGGTAGTCAGGAAAATGAAAATTATCATATTGCCTTGATTTAACTTCAAATTCTCATGACCAGTCAACAAAGAAGTGTATGCTTACCAGGAAGGAGAAAAAACTTTTAGATCTTGGGAATAAAAGGGAAAAAAGAAGGAAGTATAGAGCTTACTTCTGTGATTGTACCACAACTCAGCCCTCCGTGCAGTGCCAAATCAAGATCACCAAGTGAAGTTGGAAGAAATGATTTCTGACTGTTTGATCTTTGAAACAAGGCAAGGGCCTAACCACAAAATATACAGCTATATCATAAATCAACATTATCATCCAATTTTTGCAGCTAGAAAGCATTAGCATTCAATTTAAGATAGATGGAAACCGTGAAAGGATTTCAAACAGTGCCCAAAAACCTATGAATAATATCTTTCACAAACTTGAATGTGGAAATGTCTGCAACCAACCCCCCTCTCCCCCCACAGAAAAGTCAAACATGCTTGCTTGCTAATTGTGTCATGGTAACTGTAACTTTAACAGAAGTGGTTTGCTGTGATTAAGTACTGTGGAGATTATTTTGGATACAGTAAATCCAGTGTTGTTACCCTAAGGTTCATATCATTAACTGTCTTAACATGACTTCAACAGTGTCCAAATATTTTGCATAACACAGCACTTTGTACAGAGAAATCAGTACTTACTGTTTGCACCTTGGGAACGATGGCTTTACCAACAGCTCTCTGAATTTCTATAACTTCTTGATAACTTGATCCAGTAAACTTGAGAAGTTCCAAGTGGTTTCTCTGAAGCAAATCCTGTACAATATCAGCAAAAATAAGAAACATGGAGATCAGTCAGAAATCAAAGATGTATTTAAGTGTAGGATATTAGTGCAGGAGCTTGACTAATTGTTTGGTTCCTTACTTATTCATTTACATGGGTCTCTGAGCATTGAGAAACAAGGTAAACAACTACAAATGCAAGCCATACTCAATAAGATGCATTTGCAAGGCCGTTTGTTTGTGCACTTTTGCATGTAAAAAGCCTAATTATACTAATCACGCATATACACGACTGTAAACTCAACTCTTACATACACATTGTCCACATCTGAATCATTAAGAGAATCAAGGAAAAGAAAAGGGAGCACTTTTTCGAGGGGAAGGGGGTGCTTATTTGAGGGGGAGGGGGTGCTTCTTTGAGGGAAAAAGGGAATTTATTTGAGGGGAAAGGGTTCTTATTTGAGGGGTAGGGAGGAGCCTTCGCAAAGGGAAGGGGGCACTTTTTCAACGGGAGGGGGGTGCTTATTTTTTATCATTGCAAATTTTTGTCAACAGTAGGGACGCGGATTCAAGCATTTACGATAGGCTTAAAAAAAGTCTGAGTCTTACCGCTTCCGCTCTCATTTATTCACAGACCTTTTAACAAAGGAGTTAGCTAACCTTGCAAGTGACTATCTGATGCTTTGCTAGTCTTTCCACCACCTCGGATCGTATTCCAGGAACACGCCGCAACCTTTTGGATGACATCTTTGGGTATGAAGCATGACGAGGTTCAGACGTTGATGGTTGCAAATTCCATGGTTTCAGATTATTCCACAATCACTCTGAGAAACAGCGATTTAGATTTGATTTGATGAAGCACAGGCTGCACTTACAGCCGCCATCTCAAGAACTTGACATCCAAGCCTCCAGGAGAGGTTACCTAGTAAGAAAATTAAAAACAAAACAAAACAGACAAAACCTCTTGAAAACAAACACTTGTTGCGTTAGTTGCGTCTCATTTGATTTCGGCTTGATTTGTTTAATGCAACAGGATAAAGTTTAACGTGAATGTTTCAGTGCTGTGAAAGTCTCCAAGAACTTTGTCGTCGAGAGCTGATTCGTTCCGTGGGAAGTAGAAAGCTTCTTCAAAGGCTGCCTCTTCCCCGAAACGTCATCGAATGGCTGAAGGAGTACGATGAACCCGCTGCATTCGACCCCAACAGTAGCTCCGATGAGGTGGTTTTCTCCAACAATAACGAAACCATCACTTTTACTGGTTAGTTTTAACGCTGAAATACTGAATAAAGGGCCACTTTTAACCGTCTACCGAACGAGTCAGCTCGTTTGCCTCGTTTGCTCCTCTGTTAACACTGCCGAACCAAACGTGCCAGACGACTCACTAAATATATCAGGACGTTACAAATCGATAATTTCGATTGTAATCGATAATTTTCGATACTGATTAATCGATTGAAATCGAAAATCAATAAAAATCGATAGCGGAGGTACAATGTGTGATCATCGATTTTCGACCAAAACATTGTTTGGAATGATAGTTTGATTTTAAGCAATTTCCATCGATTTATATCGAAAACATGGATTTCGTCAGAGGAATCAAGGCAAAGAAGAAGACAGAGACTAAAGCAAGGAACAAATGACTGATGGATATCCAAAGGCAGAAAAAAGAAACAGGAATTTGTATCTGTTCTTGATATTTTTACTTTTACATCAAGGCAAAAACCCTTACTCAATTCTTAGTTGATTTGATGTCATTTGTTCTCTTGGCCGAGTAAATCAACATTATGGATAATCTGGGACCAAATCTTGTGATTATCGACATTTATTATATGTAGCTAATGGTTAACAGTTATAGAATAATACTGAGTAATTGATTAATTTCCAATGATCGATTTCTATTGATTTGTAACGACCTGAATATATAGACCCAATTAAGACTTGCATATTTATTATTCCTTGTTCTTTCATTCATTGCTGGGCCAAAGGAACCACTAACATGTTAGTGTTGTACTCTTAAAACTGGAAGTTGCAGAAACATTCCCAGCAGAACTCTTAGTCATCTCAATTAGCAAAAAATCTGTTTCAGTCTGCAAAATTGAAAAAAAAAAATGTCAATCTGCAAATTGTAGACTGTGTTAAACCTTTGCAAAGTCTTATTGTTGTATAGTGCCATGTTTAAGCTCAAAGGTACTCCATTTGTGTGCTTCTCATGACAATTGTTTCCTTCCAATAAATTTGACACTTTGATTCTGTTGGTTCTTCTTTTCTTCCAGGAAATGGCTACAGCACAACTTTGATTCTTACCCCTGGTGGTCATGGTTACACTTCTGGTAAACATGAGTGGGTGTTCTACTTTAACAATTGCCGAGGCCAAGTGGCAGTTTGTCTTGTAACAGCAGAATTTAAGAAGGCCAGAGCATTCAGAACAATGCCAGCGATTGGCAGAAAAATAGGCTGGGCTTACAATCAAATTGGGTTTCTAACCTTTGATGTTCCTATCTGGGAAGCTATGGATGGAAAGCGAAATGAAAGCTACCACACCTGGGATATGATAGGAATTATTCTTGATTTAGAGAAAGGAACACTTGGTTTTATGAAGAATGGAAAGGAACTGGGGGTAGCTTTTTCAAAAGGGTTGCGTGGCAAAGAGGTATTCCCAGGAGTTTGCTTATGCTCTGGAGAGGAACAAGTCACCTTTGTAACCAGTAGAACCTATGTGTGAAAGTGTTGGAGCAGTTTTGAATCAATATTAAACCATCAAAACAAAAATGATCACAATGGTTTATTGTTACAACAGAAAATGGCAATGGAAAATAATAATAATCCAGAGTAAAAACACATAACAAGCTTTCACCTGACAAAACCAATGAAGACCCACATTACTTGAATATTCATCCAAGGCCTTTATGTGCATCTTAGCACAACCTTGTCACATGAATTTTGTGAGACTCAGTTATTTTGATTAATTAATTTCTGAAGTAGTGTTTTGAAAGAAGTTTCCATAAAATTTGTTGATAGAAGAAATAGGAAAACATTTTGTGAACAAGTTAACAAAGACTTCCACTCATGAAATTAAACTGAACAATAATATTTATTGATGGGGTAAGTCTACCTCGACAGAGCCTTTATATGAATTATGTTCTTTCCTCACAAGCAGTTTAATTAAATTGATTAGCTGACATAGTGACCAAGTTAACCTTTTGACCCTCAGAAGCAATTCACGTAAAACTTCTCATTATATTTCTAATAATTTATCCTGCAAAATCTTGGTAATGAGAACAGACAAGCTTATCAGCTACTTAGTGTTATCTCAATCCAGTACCAAGCTCTCCTGTCTAATATACAAAGAAATGTATAGCAGCCAGTAGGGAGAATTTTTAAGTGGATCTTGGGAGTTAGAGGATTGAGCCAAAGAAGCAGGCATTCATTAGCCTCGACAAATTTAACTTTTTGCTGGAAGGAATTCAACAAGCAATCCCACAAAAATTGACTTAAAGATCAATAATATGGAAGGATTTTAAATTTGCTCATTCCAAAGATGGTAAACAGTATTACTGTAATCAATAATGTATTATTCATTAATTTTAAAATAAAGCATTACTTTCTCCTTGACTTGAAGTTTCTGTACCACTTTTAACCCTCTGAGTGAAAAAATCACCCAGCAACTAACACTAACAGTTCTGAAAATTTCATTGGATTGCCCCATTCTTGACTGGCCTGCTGCCAGAAGAATTGATCACACTATTAAATAACAGATAGGTGAAAGTAAGAACATATTGTTGCATCATTCTTTCAGCCACCACTGGCTGCTCTACCAGAAGACCAACAATTTTCCATTGTTTGTTTTCCACTGAAATATGCCTCAAAAGGTTATTCCCTGGTTAACCAAGTATTTTGATGATGTTTTGTGTGGAATATACAGTAGCAGAAGGGAGGTCAACTAGGGAGATCCCAAATTAACATCTGCCCAGGGTCATAAATAAGAACTGGCAAAACCCACTCATTAATCTGCCTTCTTTTGCCAGCTACTTTAACTTAACCCTAAGAGTGACTAGCATGTAATTTCTCCATACAGTGTCACCCCAGAATCTCACATAAAGGTCATGAGAATAAAAGCAATGATCTCCAACTGAAGAAGCTCATTTGTTAAACAAATTCACCTTGTCAGCACCTCAGGAAAGGTTAATTTACCATATGTACTGATAAAAAATGCACCATTACTGAAATACCTGCCAAGAAATTTGTACAGGAGCCACTTCCAGGATTTGAGTGAAATTGAGCATTTGAGCATAATTCACCAGCAACAGTTTAAATGAGCAAAATGATTCCACATTTAGAATTATCCACTTGGTTTGGGCAAACTTTGTGGAATCCTTGGTGCCTTTGAACCCAAAACATGTAGTTCCCAGTCTTGTATGTAATTGGATGAAACAATATGGCATTCACAATAACCAGGCCCCCTTCTTTTTCTTGTTTCCCCCTTTACGTGTACATTCCAACATACATGCATTGACAGGACAGATGTGTCTCAACCAAGGAGCATTTCCTTGACCTATATGGAAATTTTAAAGTATTACTGGATTTATGGCGGTATACAATCAATGTCAGTATCCGGCCTATCTAGCCCTCCCCTAACCAACAAAAGTCAATTGATAGCAAGCTAGGGCTAATGATGGGTTAGGGGAGGGGTGGATGCACAATTGATCAGATATTGGCATTGATCTGAGATATCCTAGTGGCGTTACTAAGCTATTTCAATTGGTTAGTATCAAGTTATATGTGTCCATAATTTTTCCTACATGTATCACTAAGTCCAAATGTCTTCGAGGTATTGCTTGTTTTCGCGCAGCTTCATCATTTCCTTGCGTGCCTCAGCTATGTCTACCCCTTTGTACTCTTGAGTAATCTCCAGAAAAGCATCAAAAACATTTTTGGCCATGTTGTCTGCATCTCCACAAACATAAACCACTGCTTGTTTGTTAAACAGTTGTTCAGCTACCTCAGTGGCATGGCTTCTCAAGTTGTCTTGAACATATTTTGGTGTTGGTTTACCGGACAAATCATCAACTGTATCACGAGAGAAGGAGAGGAAGAGGTGTGACAAAACACCAGTAGACAAGTAACATTCAAGTTCCTTACGGTACAGGTAATCTTTTTCCTTATGACGACAGCCAAAGAAGAGCCATGATTCTCCAAGAGGCTCTTGGTCATTAGAGGCTTTTAAGATGAGTTCCCTGTGCTGCAGAAAGCCTATAAAAGGTGCTACCCCTGTGCCAGGACCAATCATAATGATGGGTGTGTTAGGAGCACTTGGCAGTTTGAAGTGGAGATTTTTGCGCTGGAACACTGGAACTTTTGGTCTATCTTTCACTAACAACTGAGACAGGTCAACATCAAATTCCTTGTTACTACCAATTAAAACTTCCCCCAGACTTTTTGTGGTAGAAGCCAACCATCCAGTACAAACACCTCGTCTTTGGCCCCTTACACCTTCCAAGGCTGGAAATTCCACAATGTTGAAAACAAAGTGAAGACCATTGGGATTTTCCAAAGGTGAGCTTGACACTGAGTAAGGACGTGCTTTCAAGCGGGGCAAAAGTTCTAATAACCTTTCAAATGGAGGCTTGCATGATGGAAAGGTGTTGAGTAAGTCCAGCAAAGACAAGTAAGGTTCTCTGACAAACTTGGTGTAATCACCTGTGCCTTGTTTGCTGCAAAGTTCTTGGAGTCTTCTCTTCTCTTGTGGATCAGCTGTGTGCTCTGCCAGAACCCTTACAAGAGCTTTGCTTGGAACACTTCTGATTTCCAGGCATGTTAGCAGAGTATACTTAATGGTGGAGTACTCGGGTATGTAGTTTGGAACACTTGCTGCCTTTTTGGTTGAAGATGGAATTAACTGAATGGAGAATGGAATATCTGCTTTCTCACTCAAATCCAACCTTGATATCAGTTCATCAACTTCATCCTTGGGGTTTGGACAAACAATACCAAAAGAGTCCCCAGGTTTGTAGTTCATGTTACAGTCTGTGATATCCAGTTCTATATCCAAAGCTGTCTTTATTGAGTGACTTTCTGTCAGCTGCCTTGCTGAAACAACTGTTGCCATGGAGACTTCAGTTACAGCACTTGGAAAACTTGCACCAGCATGTACAGGTAATGTAGAGCAGTCCCATTTGTAATCAGGATGGAAGCTTACCTGTAAATAAGCTGGTGATAATTGTGGTATGGACAAGGCAGAAGTTGACAAGGGGGGCCAAGACTGTTTTAACTGATCACTTAAGGTGGGTGTTGAGGCATGCTCACCGTTGCATGCAACTGGGCCATCGTTATCTATGGCTGGTAAATTCTGATCACCAGGAGGTTTTGCCTTAACCACTGCTATTGATGCAGCATTGGTAAGACTCCTTCCACCTAGTTGGTCACAGCTGTGACTATTTGTAACAACAACAACTGAATCTGTCTCATGCAAACCACCATTACTAGTGTTCTCTAAGACTGAGTCAGCTAAAACCTTTAAAGATTTACTTTGAGTGAGGGGTTGTTCTGGTGAATCAATCACAGGAACTTTTGCCTCAACATCAGACATGCCACCATTCTGTGTCTCCAGACCCAACTGCTTTCTCAGTGCAGACCATAGTCCTTCCATCCATGGTTCCACTACCAACTCCAAACCAACTGCATCATCAGCATAACCAGTGTCGTAGAAGTGCTGTGCCCCTAACTCCAGTAATCTCTTGTCAAGGTTTTTACCGTTGTTACAGAAATTTGTGTAATTGGTGTCCCCAAGCGCGAGTAAGGCGTAACGACAATTTTCTAAATGGTTACTGGGCAAAGTCTTCTTCTTCAGTCTTCTAAAAAACTTACACATGGTATCTGGAGGATCCCCCTCTCCTGTTGTTGACACTACAAACACCACAAGGGTTTCTTTCTCTAGGGTAAACTTCTTCTCCGTTAGACTGAGACAAAAAAGGTTCGAATCCAGGCCATGTTGTTCAGAGAATTCATGGATTTCTTCGGCAATTGCTTTCGCTTGACCCGTCTGAGAACCGTACAGGATGGTAAATTTGTTTGCTAATGAACTGCTTACAGGCATATTCACCGACCAGATCTCTGCGCTTTTTAGCAGTTTAGAACCAAGACGAAGAATGTTGGATAGAAATTACTGATCAACCACACATATTTCGGCGTGATCCCAAAGTGTTACATCATCATTTTTCCGTGAAATCGTGAAATCCCTTCACGCATTTGGTTACCATTCCGCTGACAAGGAGCTAAAAAGACCCTGGGCTCGAAAAAGTCAGAGTACAACAGCTCTTCCAATTGGTTGTTTTAACTTGTCCAATTGGAATCTCTGTAAGAACTCTGACTTATTTGTGTCACGTGATTAATGTCTTCGAGAGAGTTATGGCGGAAGGTTAGAGGTGTTGAGGAAAACGGAAGTCGTAGTTGGCCTTCGATGAATTTTATTAGTTTGCAAGAAGGGTATGGAAAGGACCTCTATCACGCCAGATCAGCTATTAAGGATATTCAATGAAGCGCCTTCGTCAACCTTATCGGTAAGTAAAATATTAGAGACAACTGTTTAAAACTAATGTTTTAAACTAATGTTTTAAACTAAACTACGTATATTGAGGAACAAAGACCAATACACTGCAGGAGTTCATTTCTGTTGAAGTGAGGGTTAGTTTGTGTTATCTGACGATTGTCAATCGTGGAACTCAAAATCATACACTTAAGTTTTTAGGTTGTCTAAATATTTTTCGCAATAACGGAAAAGTGGTGTGACATGTTATATTTTTAGCTCAAATCAGCAATAGCCTATTTGCGAAGCTCCAACTGAACGATTTTAATTTATTTTTGAACATGACTAGTTTTTCTGCGTGATCTAAAAACTTCATTGTTTCTTAAATTAGCCTGTTGAGTGATTACATGAACGATACATGTATATTCTATGGGTGGCTTAGTTCTGGACAATATTGGGTTCTGACATGATTAATAGTGGTTGATAACCCTTCGATTTTGTATTATGTAAAGTCTGAGACAGTAACTTTCATTTTCTTACTGTCGCGCAACACTGAAAATTATTCATATTTAAATGGAAATATGTGAATTGCAAGTTTTTACAGGAGTAGAAAATTCCATTGCTCTGAAGTATTATACATGTGATCTAATAGAAGTCAAGCAGTTATTCAAACAATGAATTATTTAGTTTGGTGATCAGGCGGAATTTACAATTGTTATTATTGAAAACCACGATTTAGCAGTAGTTTTAAACAAGTTTATCCCAAACTGAAAATGCTTGGCCTCAGCCATTCTTGTGCTCAGTGTGGGATAATCCATACAGCTGAAAACTAACTTAATATTTATTTTTTATTTGTATTGTTATTTAAAAATGAGCTAAAACCAGGTTACATCCTCTCTTTTCATTGCATAGTTTATTGTGCTATCCTGAGGTTTAAAGGCTGTTTGGTTTGTTAGATGTTTGAGTGTACGCTGTTTGTTGTAGGAAGAATGAAAGTTATTTTACCTTTTTTTCATAAGGGAGGAAACTTTGACAACTGATTTCCTTTTCAAACTACAAATTATTTTTTGAAGTTCACACAATAGAAAATCCTTAAAAATAGCATCACAACATTTACTGTTGTTTGTAGTTTAGTAAACAGAGATGTGCTCAATGTCAGTTTCTCCATCTTTAGATTCCTTTTTGCAGGAATGCATTGATTTTTTATTTCAAGTTGGATTATTCTGATTAACATTGGAAATATGATAATAAATAGGGTTAGTCGGTTATACATGTCAGTGACAATTGCCACCTGCTCTACTCACAGAAACATTGTCCTTAAGCACCAACTGCTAGCAAAATTCACCTATTAAAAAAGGGGTGATCACTGGCTGGATTTTCGGCCGGCTATCGTTGGTTAGCAAATTTTATTTTTGAGCTACCTCACTTGAAATTTCAGCTGATAGCCTAATTCAAGCCTACTATAGCTTGCTACACAGCTTAGAAATTCTTGACAAGACTTAACTTTAGAATGAATCATACTGCTCATACTTTTACGTCATCTACACTCAAGCTACTGTACTAAAGAAATCGCTACAAGTATGTGAACAAACTATAATACCTTACTTGACATGATTTCTTTGGTGATCTTTATAACACATGTAGCTGGAATAAAAATTGAGTGTCTGGCAATTCCAATGAGCTTTGTATCACAGATAAACAGATATATGTACAGATTAAAGAGATATTGACAATGGCTAGATGACAGTGTTGGTACTAGTGAACAAAATCATGTCAGAAGAAGAGTTTTTTTTAATGTTTAATTTTTGGTGGTGCTTTTCCTATGGATCCTAATCATTATTGTTCAGAGTGAAAGTCAATCACTGTTCTTAGTAAAATGATTTAACCCTCCACACCCTTACATCAGTATGTATATTCTCCATACTGTTCCCTATACATTTCCTAAGGTGCTGACAAGGAGAATTTGTTGAACAACAAAACTTCTTTAGTTGGTGATCATTTCCTTTATTCTTGTGGCAGTAATGTGTAAGATTCAGGGGTTATGATGTGAGGACAAATTAGATGCAAGCCACTCTTAAGGATCAAAGGGTTAACATGACAAAGGGAGAATGAAGTTGTCATGAGATCAATCGTCAGTTTAACCCTTCAACTCCTATAAGTGACCAAGACAGAATTTCTCCTTTCAATAATCAATACAATATTAGCAGACAAGTAATGAGAATAAAAAAAGATATTAACTAGGGGATTATTGGTTGATCCAATACCAAATTCTCCACACTAACATCACAAATACTATATGGTAGACAGTAGGGAGAATTACTAATAAGATCCTGGGAGTTAAAGTGTTAAGGCAAAATTAAATGCCTGGTTAGATGTTTCATACAGATACAGCACTAGAAGATAATATTCATATCTCAAAGCGGCCATGTAATGTTCTGTTTATTTTATAGATACTAGTCTGATGAAATTCCTACACAAAAGACAACTTTTTTTTATTCATTTTTGAAACAGCAAAATAGTGCAATTAAAATGGTCACCAAAATGCTTGTCACAAAAATGTTATGGAACTCGGATATAAAGTTATAAAGGAGAAATAAAGACAATAATACTTATATTTTCTGTTCCAAAAAGTCAAAATTCTAATGAAGAAGAGAAAAATTCTATAACAGCAAAAGCGTATCTTAAAATAGCTCTCTTGTAATTGGCTAATCATGTTAGTAACCATGGCAACACCAATATTCTCATATGTGAAAGTTAAAATAGTATCTTCACTGCGCGTTATGAAGATATGATTTAAAAAGGAAAAATCCTGGTATTTCATCAGTATCTATATAATAAAATAGAATATTAAATAATGAGGAGTTGGTCGTAATTCCACTTGAAGTTAATTGTGGTCATCTATTGATTATTAACCCTTTAATTCTCATGAGTGACCAAAACAGAATTTCTCCCTACAATAACTATATGATGTCAAGTAGACAAGTGAAGAGAATAAAGAAGAATATAAATTAGGGGATTTTTAGATCATCTGCTTTCCAAGTCTCCAAACTTACATAATAAGAATTGTATGGCAGACTGTAAGGAAAATTGTTAATAAGATCTTGGGAGTCAAAGTGTTAAGTTTTTTTTTTTTTTTTGAAGAACTATCCCTAAATTTACTATGTATCATGGAAAAGAGGTAGCCTTTTTGGAAAGTTAAAATCAATATCAATCTCACTATCTGAAAGAAGAGCAAACTTTGACTCTAAATGCAGACTAGCTTTTCTAGCTTAGGTCAGAAATACATTTGGTGTACATTGGGCAGACAAGAGAAATAAGATTGACAAAATTATAAAGAATTTGTGAAAAATAGTATGTATGCAGGTGGCTTAAAAATTATGTCAGACCACTAGCTTATTTGGCAGCCAAAACAACATTTCTGAACATTCTAAATATTCATTTTAATTGCATTGTGAACACAAGGAAATAAAGAGAGGATATATACTGGGGTAATGTTTGTTTTAGAGATTTTTTGCTTCTGTTGAGTTAAAATTTAAGTCCATTCTTCTTCTTCAAGTGTTTTTTCAAAAGTAAGAAAATATTGTAATGGTGTCAATTTTAACTTTTCATAATCTTGACACTGGGTGACCTTGAATCCCTCAGAGACTAATCAACACCTTTCCTGCAGGTAGAAGGGTGTGCAGTCTTGTTTGGATTGTCTGAGTTTGTTATCTCTGATTTCCTTTGCAAGTTTTTTTAATTCCTTTTTTGGTCACATGCCAAGTGTATGAAAAACACCAGAAATACCTACATGTATGTGTTGGTTTTGGCAGTAATGAAGATTATAATCCTAGGACATTACAATGCAATTTTACAAAGATGTATAATGTAGAAACTGTGCATTATTTTCAAAAAAAATTTCTGCTGTTCATGAGCAAGAAATTAAGGGTTTCAATGACCTCTTTCCTGGGTTGCTCTTGTCAGAGATGCGCAGCACAGTGTTTAGGTGTTATTTGTGTGATGTTGGGGAATGCTGTGAGGTAAGCAGTGATAAATAACACTGGTATCTCAATGTGCAAATAAATTTAATTTGTCAGAATGAGTCAGGAGGATATTTGCCTATTGTGCTTTAAGTATGTTTTCTGATGATCTGAGTGCCATATGGACAGTGTACACTGTGTGTATTTCATTATCATTGATGTGTTAAGGAACCTGTTTCTGCAAGTAGAAATGATACAATAATATTGCATCATATTACTAGTCTGATCATTTTTATCTCTTTAATCTCAAGTAATCCTGATAATTAGTGACAAGAGATTTTAACAAGAAGTTAATACAATTAATGTTGCTTGAAACATTGTCTATTGATACATATTCCCTACTAATACAGAAACTGCCACTCATAATTCTCTCATGTATTAATATTGCTGAACACTGTGAGAAGTAGCAGTAATTCACAAGTACCAAAATAATTACTTGCATTCATTCAATACTTTTTTGTTTCAATTAAACAAATACATGTTAATTCCATAGAAAGACTACTAGACATAAAATTATATTTTTTGGCAAGCAGACAGCAGTTTTAATTTAATTGGCTGGCCTGGTCAAGGATCATAGGAAAATAATTTATTTCTAATTATTTCAGTTGGGAGTTCAAAGAAAAAAAAACTCTTCATGGCTTAGAAAACACATCAACAGGCAACAAATATAATGGAAAGCAATATGTTTGGTTAACGTTTCTGGAAAAAAGGAATCTTTATTTTTTTATGTTTAAGATGCTCAAAATGTAACTGAGGCTCACTGTGTTTAATCCTTGATGTAGTTTGCACTTTGTTCTCTTCTTTCAGCCTTCCAAGATCTGTGGTCAAGAAAAATTTTACACCCATCCACCTTTGCTACCTGGAGAGCAGATTATTTCACAGCAGGATCATGTAACATGTGTGGACACCTTTGATGATATTACAGAAGGAGTACTCCACATCACCACCTACAGAGTTATTTTTGCTGGTTCTCATATGAAGGTAGACACACTTTTTTGAGGGAGCGTTTCTCATCATTATAAAAAAGTAGCTAATGTTGTATGGAAAAAACTATTGATAATTCATTCATAGAGGAAAGAGAAATCCTGATAGGGGTTTTTAGTGGTTATCGAAGGTGGAACAGAGTGGAGAAAGAGGAATATACATGTAGCATCTCATTTCTTATTTCTTTGCTTGTTGTCATGCAAGTGGACATTCATGAGTGATGAGTATCAAATAAGTTTATGCTCTGGCAAGCTTGTTCAATAATACATTTTAACCCTTTAACTATCAAGATATCATTAGTAATTCTCTCTATCGTTTACCATATTATTTTTATTGTATTAGTTTGGAGAATTTGGTATTGGATCAATTAATAATCACATAATTGATCTTTTTCTTTATTCTTATCGCTCTTCGGCTTGATATTGTATTGATGTTGTAAGGAGAAATTCTTTCTTGGTCACTTACGGGAGTTAAAGGGTTAAGTTAGTATATCATGGAGCAGTAGTATAAGCTGCAAAAGGAAACGTTGTAAAGCTTTCCATAAAATAACGAAACTTCCTAAGGCTTTTCACAAAGACTACAAATTGCACCTTCCCTATGGGCTTGTGTAATTTTGTTGTCTTTGAAAAATTTGCTTATGCTTGTTTACACCATATTGCTTGAGAAATCATTTTATTACCCATACTAATGAAAACCAGGAGTTTCAATGGAAGCTGGTTACAGGTAGTGTAGCACTGCATTTAAGACCTCTCACCATCTTCTGTTTAGCCTGTGAGCAGCCTCTCATGTTTGGGTTTTGTCTTACGGCATAGCTGCCTCATACACCATCTGCAACTCCTTATAGAGAAGTTATTGAAACCTCTGTAATGCTATCAATTTTAGTGCCACTCAAACCATAAGAAATTAACCAAAGACGTGTTGTGGCTACTGTAATGAGCCAACTACCCTACAGTAACTGAATTCAGTATGGAATTATTCTAATTTGTACTCTTGCATCTTGGAAGTACAGGACATACATAAAGACTGTTGGTTTGAAGGTGACATTTGACCTTCTCCTTGATCAGGGGACACCAGTTAATGTGCAAGTTTAGATCTACTTGTTTTCAAACCATAACTTAGGCTGGATTTGAGTAGCCTTTGTTTGGTTTTGACTGTTTCTTTAAATTGGCTAAAGTTTTGGTAGATGGACCATAAAAGATGTATAAGATAGATCTGTTTATGATAATGTATGTTGTTAGTTGTTGTGAGAAACAATTTTAAGCTTCCAACATTTTTTTGTTGCAGCATGGCCTAGATGAACATGAGTTTGTTGATGCTGATCCTGAGGAAGTGGCAAGGAGAGGGCATCACTTTCAAACAAGCTCTAGGAAGGCCTCCCCTAGCCACTCTAAATGTCACGCAATCAGGAATTTTGAAGCGACTCTTCCGAGGAAACCAAATAAAAGGTGTGGTTTAATGTAGCATCTTGGTCATTAAAATAGATGATGACCTACTGTTTAGTGCATTGGATTGTGGTTCCAGAGGTCTGGGTTTGATTGGGTCTGACCGGGTTACTTGTGTTGTGTTCTTGGGAAAAAGAGTTATAAATGGGTACCAGAGAAGCTTGGGGGTAACTGTGTAATAAACTAGCATCCCATCTGGGAGAGAGTACTGTAGTAATACTCCTAGTCAGTAAAAACTACTATGGAAACAGGGACAAGCTCTAGCTGAATGGGCCACAAGTCTCCAGTACATACATTTTTTTTTAATTGTATGGAAAGAAAAGACAGTGGTAAACTAATTGAATTCATGAGTTGTCATTTTTACATTGATTCCAGGTTGGATTGAATACAGAGTGTTGATTTTTTATGTGTTCTTACTCTGAGGCTGCCCTCATTGTTGTTGTTTTTTTTTAAGGTTGAGTGCCCATAATATTTCTAAGAAAATAAAATCAGGTGGTGTGAGAAGAGGACTGCGGCACAGCCAGTCAATGAAAGGGAAGAACCATGCAGTGGCTACTCTTCCTGGTGTTTGTGAACAGAGTGTCAAATTACAAACCCTGAGGCCAATAATTCTGTCAAATATTGAACATATTGGTGAGTACAACAACTGTTACTCTCTAAAATTTTGCTAGTTAACCCTTTAACTCACAAGGTCAGATTGACAATTTTCCCTTTTTGCTGCTTCACATATCCATGTGAACTAGTTGCAAGAATTTGGTGTTAGATCAAGATAAACAACTTCTACTTGATATTTTTGAGTGTTCTCATTACCTGTTTTCTGGATACAGTATGGATATTATAGGGAGAAGTTACATATTAGTCACTTCTGGGATTTAAAGGGTTTAGAGGCAGGTAACAAAAGTCCATTAGAGTCTTTTAGATTCTGTGTGATTGTTTTGTGCTGACCTTTCTTGATCTTTAGTACATTTAACATTACTATCAGAGAAAACAATAATTGCTGTGTATCGAAATTCAAAATAAATTACTGTAGGAGACAGGGTGGGTTAATGGTCAGTGCACTGGACTCTGGGTTAAGAGGTCTGGGTTCAAGACCTAGCCAGGTCAATGTGTTATGTTCTTGGGCAGTTCTTCATGCAGTCAAAATTTGTCACTTCCAACTTTTACAAGGGAGCATTGTAACAGTAATAATTGTGTCAAGTGTGTTTACACTGTCACTACAGTTGTGAACTCTCCTTTTTGTTTCCCAGGGTCACCTGTGTACAAAAGCCTGGGGTTATTACATACAGTTGTACAGTGTGATCAGATGATGTCACCTTATGCTTATTGTGGCTAACGGCTTTTTGCGTTTTCTCTTTTTATTTTTATCAAACAGATCATAGTTATGAAGTGGAAGTGTCCATTCCTCTTTCAAGCATTTTTGACATTAAGAAGTTCTCCAAGAAGAACTTGCCAAAAGACAAACAAATGTTTTTGTTGGATGGATTTGAAATTTTCTGTAGCAACATTCAATCACATAGGGTAAGTGCATTGTATTCTAGCTGTAACTCAGTTACTGGGAAAAATGATCCTTGCAGTTCTTACTATGTGCTTGGTTAGCTCACGTTGAAGAGCACCAGGCTGCAGTGGGGGAGGTTGAGGGTTTCAACCTTAGAATGGACCAACACTCAGGATCTTAAATTAACTGAGGAGAATGTGCTGCCTTTGCTAGGATATGTGCAAATGGTTAATCATTGTAATCTTCTTGGATAAGGACAATAAACTATAGGTCCTTTCTGTACAAAATAGGGACCATACAGCATGTAGCTCCTGGTATCGTGGTCTGGCCTTGTTATTGTTAATAAAAGCCCCCATTTAAACCACGTTTTAAGCTGAACCAGGTCAGCGTGTCAAATTATAGCAAATTATAGCAAGTTCATACACACACTACAGGGATACATACCTACTACAGTAATTATCTTAAGCTTTTGTATCAATTGACTACAGCATAAGTTGTATATGGAACTTCTTTAAACATGTACATATATTTTAGTTTCAACTCAAAGTCTAATATATTGTGCTTTTTTAGTTCTGTCCAGGTCTTATGACCACAATTGATGCAGAGGCTGTTATGAAAATCATTCTCCAAACTTCAAAAATAGTAAGTGGTAATTTGTGTACCAACTGATTTTAAGGAGCTCCTTCCAATACATACCCTGGCCTTTTCAAGAAGCACACTCGTTTCAATAAGTGTCTCAATAACATGTCTCTTAATTGCAAGACCACCAGGAAGTTTGATGTTTGAGTAGTACTGGTGTACCAGTGTACCAGTACAACATCACTTTCTTACACCGAAGGAGATACATTTAGCTCTAAGTTATCTTATCTGCTCTTTCCAAGAAGTAGCACAACTTCTTTAAAGAGACTATCTCTTGCTCTAACTTTTGGTCTGTTTTTAATTGGCTCTTTGATGAAATTAGTATCTCCGCCTTGAAGCTGAATTGTTATGATCAGGTATCACTTAAAGCATTTACAATGTTTTAAGAATGCAGGAATGCAGTCAGTGACAAAAGAGTTGAAGCAATTGAAAGTATCTTAATAAGCACCTCAAAATAATTTTACTTTTCATTATTATTTCAGAATTTTATTATTCATTATTGCGATACTAACACCTCCCTTTCAAACAGATATGGATTTTCTTTCTGGTTGTTCCCAGTTTTAAGCAAGCTTAAGATGATTCCTCAGACAAAAAAAGTTATCAAAGGTTTTTTAAAACTTTTCATATTAAAAATGTTCCCTACCAAAGTCTGTTTTGAAAACTACAATGAAAAAGTGGGTTTCTGTGCTTGCTCTAAACTGATTGCAGGCATGCCTATTCGCCTGATTTTTTATATTTTTTATGCGCGACACAGGTTGCTCAGTGTGATACTGAGGAATCACCTTAAAATGAACTAATAACAATCTTTAAACATCCTCTGCTAGAGCATGGTATTATGTAACGGTAGTTTTTCCATTTCTTGCAGGATTTTTCTAAGTTATTTGCCTTTACTTATAAAAGCTCCATCATTCTGCCTACGTCATGTACTATTTTGGACAGTAAAGATGCTCCCAACTTCTTTAAGTTTGAAGGTAAATGGACTGTTTTCATATCCATCATTTCCTAATAAAAGTAATCACCCCACAAATCCTCATAGGTTTGATTTTATCCCTCACATTTTAACTGCCACGGGTGACCAAGACTGAATATCTCCTTACAAGTGATGAGAATAAAGAGAAATATCAATCAGGGGATTATTAGTTGACCCAGTATTCCCCAAACTAACATCATAAGAATTGTATGGCAGACGGTAAGGAGAATTACCTTTTAGATCTTGGGTGTGACAAGGCTAAAGAATATGGGACTTTTAACTCTTAGATTTTCAAAGGAGGCGTTGCAGTCAGTGTTGGATGCGACATTAAAATGGGACTCATGATAAGAATCATTGCCAAAATGTTTTAATGACTATGAGAGCTCTGATAAGAATCATTTTTTTTGCCAAAATGTTTTAATGATCTTCTAATTTCATCATATGAGAGCTTTCTTTGCATGGAATTCATTTAAGACTTTCGAAGATGACGGAAATAAACATACAGAACACAAATTTCCCATACACCATCAATTAATTAAGTTCGCATTTTAGAAAGTATTATGTGTTGTAATTTTTTGCAGTTGAGTGTGACCGACTCAAGTTATTCCATACTGGAAACTGGCAAATTCACAGTGAGTACACGTCCAAAAGAATTTCCTTGTGTACTCTTCATGTAACTACTAAAAGAAATACCTCGTTTATCTACCACTTTCAAGTAAATAAGGCTAAATTTATTTATAACGAAATTTTTAGTTATAAATTTAGTTTTAAAACCTCTTATTCTTGTTCCAGAAGGAACACGGCCTTTACACTATCCAGCAAAAGTGGTTGTGCCGATTTCAGTGACAAAGGAGGAGTTAACTGAAATAGCTGACGTTCACAGGTAGATAATTGATGGTCGGCAGTGTATTTAATTAGACTGGCTGTTCATGCAACTGCTCTTGATGGCAAACTTGGCTTGAATCCTGGAATTTCTAGGACCAGGAGTAATTTTTCCGTTATCTCAGAGTTTTTATTTCTTCTTGCAGAGGAGAAGGATGTTTCCCAGTAGTTTGCTGGAGACATATCAATTGCGGTGCAGTCATGTTAAGGTCTCCTGCAGCATTGTTCAGAAGGTACGAACAGTGGTATTTGATTGACACATACTCATTTGACATGTGTCATTAGTTAACATTTCATTTCTTACAATATCAACACATCTTATCCAACAATCTGGTGATACATAACTGATGTACAAGAAATGTGCAGGAACTTGAAGAGAGAATTACAGATCAAATCTTGGGAGTTTCCGGGTTGTAAGGTCTGGGCATTGAGATGCTGCCTTTCTGTGAGAGGAATCCTTTAGATCGTCAGTGTAAAGTGAAATGTTGGAACATTGATTAATGTAAGGGACTGTCGATGTGTCCTTAAATTGTTTCATTCAAAGGAAATAGTGTATCATCAGGGAACTGAGGAAGACGGTTTGGAGATTGCGTTCGGGGGGAGCCTCAGTTTTTAGCGTTTTGAAGTAAATGTTGCAGAAAAAATATCTGTAGCACGTCCTAGAAAAAAGATCTCTTGGCTTTTGCTTCAAGTCACTAATTTTGTTCGAATTGTTTCTTGCAGAGGCCTTAAAGACTCGCGTTGCCCAGCAGATGAGAAGTATCTTGTAACAGTCAGCGCACTTAGTGAAGCTGCTACAGAAAAACTGGTTGTTTTCACTGAACAGTACGTAAAATTGTAGATGAAGAGTAATCAAATGACTTTGATTGCTCTAATTCGAAACTGGGAAGAGCCAAAAAGGAAATATAAATTAAAAAAATTAAATGTTATTGTCTCCTCCTGAGCCTTGTGGTTTCCGCAATTTGTTTTTCTAAATGGCGGCGCCCGTAATCGAATTTTTAAATTGTTGGTAACCGATGTTGTCTTCTGCTTTAGAATAAGACAGTCAGGAGGAGGGTTACTGAACTCTTCTCAACAAGTGACTCAAATGACAGGACAGCTCACTCCACAAGAAGGCGAGAGTAAGTCATCTCCCCCTGATGTAACACTTAAACTGCAGATCTAAAATGACCTCTGCACACTTAATATTATATGCAGCAAAGAAGGGGATGGTACTCTGATTTTCAAAAATGAACAACATTCATGTGATAATTTGTTTGGGTCAATTTCTGTTTGGTGTGAATTGACATTTCCATGGCATCCAAATTTTATTGGTAATTTTACAAGAAGATGTTTGCTTTCAATGGTGATTTTGTACTCAAATCGCTACATTCTCGTCGTCTTATACTATTTCTGATTTTAATACAAATTTCACGTATTGTTATATTTATTACAGCTTCAGTTGTAACCCTAAGTAAGCAAAAACGTCTGATTATGAGAGGGTTACTCAGAAGTTAACGCAGACATCAAATAATTTTTTTTTTGCGTTCTCTTGTCTCAGCTTTCTATTATCCTAACATCAAGTTTATGTATGCTGAGGGAATACCAGATGTCAAATCTGTGAAGCAGAGTGCGTACAAACTTCAAGCAGTTCTCGCAAACAGAAGGTGAGAATGTTGAGTGTTTGCTCCTTGTCAGTTTCTATGTCTGTTGTTTTTCCAATTCCTATTGTTTTTCCCTTTCTCTCTGACAAAGGGCTGACGCTCGATATGTTAGCTTCAGAATCTATCTACGGTGGCCAGTTCGCATCATCAACTTAGTTGATAAAACCGAATTATCTTGTTGGTTTTTTCTGGTTTTAATGGAGCTCTTGATCCAGCGTCGTAAAACTAAAACCAAAGTGATCATAACAGGAAATAAGAACAAAGGAAAGTATCATATGGTGAGAGGTTAAAGCAATACATTCAACCTTCCTTTAGCGCGGGAAAGCGGTCAAGTCACAATGGGTTGTGTTTTTGTGTGAAATCCATCCATGTTACTGCATTTTACGTCACTCTAATGCATTACTTTGACCCTCCAGTGATGACAGTAAATGGCTTTCTGCGCTGGATGATTGTGATTGGTTGATGCAAGTCAGCGAGCTGCTCAAAACAGCCACTCACATTTCAGTTGCTATGGATTGTGACAAGTCATCTGTCATGATCAGTTATGAAGACGGAATGGACAGAACAGCTCAGGTGTGTTTTCAATGACAGGCGCTAATCTTCATGTTTTGAGTCAATTTTCTGCCATTTGGAAACCAGACTAAGTTTAAAAATAGTCTGCTATTATGGATAAACAGTAAAGACGTTATAGTAGATTAAAACAATGACGAGGATTGTGGAAGATGGCGAAGATTTTCATGTTATAAATGGCGATTTTGCTAAATTCAGGCAAAAGTTCCCAAAAGTAATGCAACTCCTCTTAGGCTCAGATAATCCAAGTTGGAGTTACAAATGAACGCAAATGAATGTGTGCCTGTGTTTGCGTTGACCTGCAGTTATCTGAATGTGCATTGACTGACACTGTCAGGGTTTTTTTCTGTTTATTTTATACCAATATACTTAAATCCACCATCGGTTCTCTTGTGTTGCATCCCACTACATTTCAGAAGCAACTTTTCATTAAATTATGCGCACCCAGCGAGTGAATAGAGACAAAATTTCAAGCTTAGCCACCTAAAACAAATTTGGTCTCTTGTCAAAGACGTCCAATCATTTTGTAGATCACTTTCTCCGGGGCCGTCATATCAGATGCATTATTGCCCCTTGGTGACAATTCTACATCAATTTTCGTTACAAAATGAGAAAACAGTTTGGTTTTTTTTCACTTAATTTTGTTGTGGTATTTTCTCCTCGCTCACTCTATGGAAATTGAAAATAACGTTGGTTATATTCAGTGGTTCATATTATTTATTGGGTTATCGTTTGTCAGGTGACAAGTCTTTCTCAGTTGTTGCTGGATCCTTTTTATAGGACAGTGGCTGGCTTTCAGGTTTGTTCGCCGTCCTTGCCTTGTCTCTACTAAGTTATTCAACCCTAAACAGTAGCTTTTTTACTGTTCAAATAAATTTTTCATATACGGCAAGTCTAATTGCTCCTCTTCTATATTCCTGTGAATTAGCCTTTCTAGCCTCGACAAAACGTTTAAAAACAATGGAATTTTCTCTCAAAAGCGATGCTAAGAGGGCTTAATTGCATGCCCATATGCGTGACGTTTTTGTTTTGCACAAGAACACGACACAATAACTATAGCTGGTGCTTGAAACCAGACTTTTCCAGCAAGTTAACCACCAGACCATCAAATCTCATCCAATTTTGTCAAATCTGCTTGCCAACTTCACTTATTTACATTTTGTTAGGTGTAACTCACTTCTGATTTGTCTCCTTTTATCCAGATCTTGATTCAAAAGGAATGGTTATCATTTGGTCACAAATTTTACTCCCGTACCATGTCCCCGCAGGCTCATGATGATTACAGTCCGGTGTTTCTTCAATGGTTGGACTGTGTTTGGCAGGTAAAGTGGCCGATGGTCGCATGATATATTGCACTTATTTAAGTCACTCCTTACGACCTGAAAACAGACAAAAAAAGGTATAAGGGAGCTTGGATTGGTCAACCTGGAGTTTAAGTAGAGTTGATTGGTCAAGAAAGCCATACGATTTCTTCGCTATGTGACTCTCCTTTTTTTCCCTCCGCTGCAACTAGCACGCCATTTACTATCACGCTCCGTTTTCCAAACTGAGCATGGAACAGACTGATAAAAAACGACGATTCTGTCTTTGCAGGTCCTTCAACAGTTTCCATTCTCATTCGAGTTTAACAGCCTTTTACTTGAGGTAAGATGTAAGGCACTGTACGTTAATCGTCGTTATTGTGGAATGCGTTTTTCTCTTGCTATCATCGCGACCTTCGTGTGCTCTTATCGTGAGGGTCAAGCTGCAAATTGGCACTTGTTCTTTAACTCCCATCAGTGGCCAAGTCAGAATTTCTTCTTACAATACCAATACAATTTATAATCAAGTTTGGATATAACGCGCGGTGTCATTGGTTGAAAGAGCGTGCTCTATGAGAGTATAGAGCATAGAGCTGAGCTAAAGCTGTCACGCCATCTGCCAAACTGTACTATGTTCGACCTTTTCCGGGACTTCCCTTTAGCTTTTTTCCGATAATTGAAAGTGAAATTTCGGAACAAGCGAGCCGGCAAGTAGCAACAGAAGAACCAAATAAAGGTTTGTAAACATACCAGGCGCCGTAATTTACGTTATTAAAACGTGAGCAGATACGAAAATCCTCAAAGGAAAAACAAAATAGACATTCGAGGTTTTAAAGATTGATTCACGTTCATTTAGATTGCAAGCTTACGTACGGAAATAAAAATCAAACACAGCTAACACTTATATAGTATATAAAGTTCAGTGTTCAAAAACATAACAAAACAAAATAGAAATGATGAAAAATATAACCAAACTGGCATAACTGTTAAAATTCATTCTAATCATGACGGTGTCTGAGCGAATATGATCATGCTGAAGTCCATCGCGGCTCGCTCATCATGGCGATCTCCGGTCATCACAGCAAGCCTCAGAAACTACATCGGCCGCCCTTCGAGTGAAAAAATAAGAGCTTGCTCTGATATCCTTCCCGATGCGGTGAGTGGAAAGTCACATCTGTCACTGCAGCCGAGTTTTGCGGCGCTGTCATCCCGAACGATCTTCATGTTCCGGTGAATTCGGCTGTCGTTCATTCAAAAAACACTCGCCCTGAACAGTTTGTTTTCTACCATGTCATGTGAAAAAACTCGCGTGTTTTTATGAGCCATAACTCGGCTGAAGTTCACTGAACATTTCACTTCAAGATTCTGTATTAGAGACTTAAAAACTTCAGGCAAAAGTGTTAAATTCAACCTACCGAACTATTTTAGTTTGTAAACTATCGCAGAAGGTGAACTTTGATGGTTTGACACTTTAGACAGCTTTAGTCTTTTACAGCCAATCAGATTATTTGAACCATTCTAACAGGGATTCTGATTGGCTTATTCTAGCGTGCTTTATGAGAGTATAGAGCATGCTGACGACACTGTTGTTCGCTTTGGAAATAAAGTTTGTTTTGAAATTTGAAAGCAATGCTCGGGGAATTTAATGGATTCTTAATTATAAAACAAATAGAGAAGCCTTGGCTGTGCTCTGTTCTGTTATAAAGCACGCAGGAAGCGGCTAGAGCACGAAAGAAGTGTAGGGAACTATTTGTTAATTAGTTTAATTAGTTAATTAATTAGTAAATTAATTAATCAGTTTAATTAGTTAATTTGTTCTGTTAATTATAATAAAGCTCGGATATAACACGTACTGTCATTGGTTGAAAGAGCGTGCTCTATGAGAGTATAGAGCATAGAACTGAGCTAAAGCTGTCACGCCATCTGCCAAATCGTACTATGTCCGACCTTCTCCAGGACTTCTTTCTAGCTTTTCTTTCGTTAATTGAAAGTGAAATTTCGGAACAAGCGAGCAGAGGTTTGCAAAAGTGCCAGGCGCAGTAATTTACGTTACTGTAACGTGAGCAGAGACAAAAATCCTCAAAGATAAAACAAGATAGACAGTCCGAGTTTTTTTTAACGGTTTTCACGCTCAGTTAGATTGCGAGTTTACGTACGGTAATAAAAATCAAACACAGCTAACACTTGTATAATAATATAAAGTTTCGATTTCAAACAGAAAAAAACAGGAATGATGAAAAATATAACCTGGCATAACTGTTAAAATTCATACTAATCATGACGGTGTCAGAGCGACTTAAGGTCTATCGCGGCTAGCTAATCATGGCGATCTTCGGTCATCGCAATGGAGCAAGCCTCAGGAACTAAATCGACTACCCTTCGAGTGAAAAAATAAGAGCTTGCCCTGATTACCTTTCCGATGCGTTGAGTGGAAGGCCAGATCAGTCACTGCAACTGAGTTTTACGACGCTGTCATTCCGAGCGATCTTCATTTCTTAGTGAATTCGGCTGTTGTTCATTCATAATACACTCGCCTTGAACAGTTTGTTTTCTACTTGTCATGTGAAATAACTTGCGTATTTTTGTGAGCCACGATTGGGCCGAATTTCACTGAACATTTCACTTTCAGATCCTGCATTAGAAACTAAAAAACTTCAGGCAAAAGTGTTAAATTCGACATGCCGAGCTATTTTAGTTTGTAAACTATTGCAGAATATGAACTTTGATGGTTTTTGAACTTTGATGGTTTGACATTTTTGACAGCTTTAGTCTTGTACAGCCAATCAGATTATTTGAACCATTCTAACAGAGATTCTGATTGGCTTATTGTAGCGTGCTTTATGAGAGTATAGAGCATGCTGACAACACTGTTGTTCGCTTTGGAAATAAGATTTGTTTTGAAAATTGAAAGTAATTCTTGGGGAATTTAACGGATTATTTATTATAAAACAATTAGAGAAGCCTTGACTGTGCTCTGTTCTGTTGTAAAGCGATTAGGAAGCGGCTAGAGCACTCAAGAAGTGGGGAGAAACATTCGACTACGTCTCGTGTTTCTCCCTACACTTCTTTCGTGCTCTAGCCGCTTCCTGCGTGCTTTACAACAGAACAGAGCACAGTCAAGGCTTCTCTATTTGTTAAATCAAGCAGACTTGTGACGAGAATGAGGAAAAATAAAAATAAGGGGGTTATAAAATGATGCAATACAGAGTTTTCCAAACCAACCTTATGAGAATTGATGGCAGGCGACAAGGAGAATTACTAATGAGATCTTGAGAGGGAAAGGGTCAACAGGCAATGCCAAGTTGTGCTAATTCAAGCCAGTTGGAAATTATGCGACCTTTTGCTGCGACCAAATTCTGTTGCAGAGTCAAAGATTTACACAAAAAGTTTCCATCTCCACGCTCGCAGCAGACCTCTTGAGTGAATATCTCGCGCAGTTGTTATGACCAGCATTGATGCGCGCGCTGGTTTGCAGTGTATTTCTCCACCAAGTGCATGGGCGTTTTTATTCTCGCATTCAAGTATCTCTCTAACTAACTGATAAACAGAGACCAAGAGTTGTTCATGTGTCTTTCACTACACGGCCTTTGTGGAAGTTTCAGCCTTTTTCCAATGTTGGACGGTGCTGATACCTGATAAGTTATACCTTGTCCTCACTGCACTTATTTCTGTTTTAGGTAATTGCAGAACACGTTTATTCCTCGCGATTTGGAACGTTCATTGCCAACGCAGAAAGCGAGAGAGAAGAGGTACGTAGCTTCAAGCCTCATCTATTTGTATGTCGACGCTCAATTTTTTACAGCAGTGTGTATTTTTTCTGTCACGTGTTTAAAGAAAGACTACGATTCAGAAGTTTTGTACTTTTTATCTTTAAGTATGTTTAAAAATTAAGTTCCTATCTTACTTTGAGATTCCATAGTAACCTGTCTGATAGAGAAGTGTTTTAACCTTCTAACCCCTAGGGGTGATAACCATCTAATTTCTACAACAGTATCCCCCCTGAATCAAATATTAAGGTTACGGGAATACAGGAAATGATTGCGATTGATTGTTAAACAAATTCTCCCTGTAAATACTAAAGGAAATGTGAGGAGAACAGTAAAGAGAACTTGTATACTGATGTTAGGGTATAAAGGGTTAAACCATAGTCGAATTTCAGCATATTTGAAGGAAACGTTTGGAAGGTAAGGTTACTCCTTATAATCTCAAACTGAGGTTATTCTCTTACAATTATCCACCTGCTTTATGATAACGAAGATAAAAATGATATGGACTCTGAAGCGTACTTGACTCCTAAGATAAACTTCATAACGTTGGTAACGGTTTGTAAAATTTCTGCACAGCCCCTACTTCATGATGCATACAGTTCTTGAATTAATAATATGCATTAAAAAATTTACGCGCTTCTGGTTGGCATGGTAAGTTGTAACACGAGTGCAAATTACAAATAGCGCGCGCTGCTAAAATTTCGTCCGTTTTGATTTATTGTGATGTGTTTTTCATGTAAATTGTTAACAAGTAATAACGTGATTTTTCGTGCAATTTTGTTGTCTTTGAAATATTAACTCGTGCTTATTAACACCAAAGAATAAGGGGGTAAGATATTGTGGTGCTGCGTCGTTGGGAGAATATAACTAATTTAGTATTATCAACTGAGTTAATAACGTAAATTGGACACCGTAAAGAGTTTAAAAGCTGACGTTTCGAGCAGCAAAGGGTTGACGCTCGAAACGTCAGCTTTTAAAATCTTTACGGTGGCCAATTTACGTTATCAACTCAGTTTATAATACTAAATTACCTTATTAACATCAAATTGCTCCCGAAATCATGTTATTACCTATACAAAGAAAACAATGGCGAAAACAATAGATTTCCTCGGGGACTATGCTTTGTTTTAAGATAGTAGGGTGCTGGGCGGAAATCTCACTAGCGGTTTTATCAACAAATTCGACCTGTGAAATGATTTTGTATATGGAAGGCAGTTGTATTGTGCGTGTTACTCAGAACTTTATTTTTCAAAAGGAAAACATTGGTTTGTTGTCTTCTTAACAGGAAGAATATGAGGATAAGACAATTTCCCTTTGGACCTGGTTAAACGTGACTACCATGGCAAACCCTGAAAAGTTCATCAATTTGCGTTATAAGGAACAACAGCAACAGAGGTAAGACTAGAGTGCTAATCAACTAACCCATGAATCGAGTATTTTTGAAACAAATCACAACACTGTCCTTTTCCGTTGTCTCTAAAGGATGTCATAGCACCGTTTAGTAAATCTGGGGTCAGTGAACAGTGTTGATTTATTTTTTCGCTCTGAAGACAGCTTTTATTTTGATACTTTAACTCCTTCAGTTTTTAATCTCACAAAGGTTACACCTCACAAAATGTTTTAACGTACGACGCTACATGAATTCACGAGGCAAATCTGGACGGGCGTTAACTTTTCATTCCTGAATCAGCGCTGGCGCCCTCTCAAACAGTTCGCTGAGATTCAAGAGGAAAATCTCTACGCTTGCGTCAAATCCTCTCGTCAACCCTTGTTGGGGGGATTTTGTTACTTTGAAAAAACTCTGAGTTATTTTTATACCCGTAGAAATGCGCCAGATTTGAATTTATAAAAGGTACTCCTACTAAAGTATGACAGAGTGCTGGAGATGTATACGAGGAGGACTCTCTGTAAACTTGACTTCAAACGGCATTCTGAGGGCAGGTTGCTGTGATACACTTTAACTTGGACGTGTTCTTCTCAGAATCATTCGCGTCAAAAGCCAAATCTTGTTGCTCCTTTGATGGTCTTTTTCCTCTTTTACCAAGTCAAATCTAAATTTGCGTTTTTTATGGAGGGAGGATTCCAGGAGAATTCAGACAAAATAGCTTAGGAGCAAGGAAAAGAGCTAACTACAAAACCAACCCACGTGTGGGTGTAAGGGCCTGTTTCTCGAAAGAACCGATAACTTAACGTGTCAGAAATGATTTTACAAGCCGTATTTTAAAATTTGATATTAGGTAATAGTAGTGCCGGTGTCTGCTCTTCGGTCTTGAAGGTGTCCTCCCCGTGACCTAAACTTTTGTTCGTGTTATAACTTAAAAGTTGACTGCTTTAACTTATATAAGTGCTTGTTTCTATTTTTTTTCCCAGAGTGCTTCGTCCCCTGTACAGAATACCTTATCTTAAATTGTGGTCGTCATTCTATGTCAATCGATATCGTTATGATCATGTTCACGATGCTTCAAAAGCAGCCGAGCTGGAGGCACTGAAACTAGAAGATAGATACGAGGTAACAAAATTTGGGCGTACATATTTAAATCCCTCTCAAAATTCCTTTCCTGAATAACGTCTCTGACTTGGGGCAGTTTTGATTAGTGTGTCAAAAGCAATCTGGAATGAGATCGGTTCGGCTTTAACCCGCTCTACGATTGGTCTAGAAAGCTGGCAGCATCCTCTCCAGCATTCAATGGCTGACAAGAGCTAGCACTGATGACAAAATAACTTAAAACGTCAATGTCAGTGCTACTCGACAAGTTTAATCAAGGCAGGTGGCTGATCACTTTCCGAGGCATTTCGACGAGACAGAGGGCCTCTAAACTGCACTGCTCCAAGCTGCGACCATAGTGGTAGTTATGGCAACCTGTGTTTGGTGGCCGTGTAATAATATGTGACGTTGTTCAAACAAGATTTCATGGTATGGTCTTTAAATGTTTCTCAATAGCTGTTGTTTTCTTTTATGATTATTTGACCCTCTCTCCGAAGTATTAAGCTTAGAGAGGGCGCGTGAATCACGCTCACGCTCAAGACAATGATGTGGTCAGCGGTTTCGTGAGTCTTGTAACATTGCAAGTGCCGTTTTTTGGCCAAAAGACCACACTGAAAACGTTGTGCGTTGTTCCCTGTAAGATGGGTGGGGAGGGGTGTTATAGCTGGGATTTTGCGGTGGTTACAGATTTTGAGTGAGACACCCACTTGATTTTGTCTTTTCAGGAGCTCCAGGAAAAATACTGCAGCTTGATTCGTAAACTTGCCGAAGTGGACTCCGAAGATTACTCTTCTACATTTTCCTTCCACACAGCTACTCTTCACCGTGCCTTGCAAAAAAAGAGTTCAAACGATCATTTTAGCGTGTTTAAGGGTAGCAGGAACAGTTCGCTTGATAACGGACTTGACGCATCCGGGACCTGGCCAAACGAGGCTTCTAACCTGTCCGAAGAGGACCCGGATACTCTGATGTCATCTATGAAGTCGTTGTCCATGCCGAGGAGGCGGATGACACGCAGTCGTTCGTTGGATGATATGTTGACCACTGATCTGCGGCAAAAAAGAGCTCCTAAGAAAACAACGTTGTTGCGACGGGTCGGGAGCAGCAAATTCTACACTGAGCAGATAGTGAATGCTGTCAATGCAGGTAAGTTTTTTCGGTGAGCCGTAAAGGCCCAATGTTAGTCCGTAAGGCTGTGGGTTTGAGGCCCGGTCGGGTTTAGTGTTTTGTTCTCGGACAACACACTTAAGTCTAACCGCATCTCACCACCCACGAGTGTAAAGGGTTCCCTGATCAACGAATGGTCAGGGAAGGCTGATGAAATGCAGGGCGGGAGCCTGTGACGGACTGGCATCCCATCCAGGGAGAGTAGTAATACTCATAATCGCTTTATGCTTTGGAAACCTTCGGCTGGGTAGGCCATTAGGTTTAGACGCATGTATGAAGCCGTATTGATTCTGAATCCCCTCGAGTCAGTCAAGAGTGCAACAGTCGTTTAAAAAAATATGTTAAAAAGTTGTAGCGAGCTAGAGACTCCGGAAGAATTTTTAGTCCTTGTGAAGACTCGCAGCTTAGGCACTCCTGATTTCGCAATAAAGAATGCTTAACCGACCGAGCTGTGGAGAACTCGCTTGTTAGCTAAGCTGTATGTCAGTATTTGTGACAAGTATTCTACATGTTGCAAAGTCGAAAATGTCCAGAGAATCCTTTAAAAAGCCAGAGTGGTAATCTTTGAGCTCTTTCGTTGAATTTAGAGAGATATTAGACTATTGTGATGAGCAAAAAGAATATGTTTTTAAAAAAATGTTGGCCGCATGACAGCTAAGGATGATATTCGAGTTTTGTACGATATACCCTTATACAACACTAATCGTGGTGGTAATAATAATGAAGGCGTGATAATGTTATAATGACGAAAAAAGATGATCAGCTGTTCTAGAAGGAATGAGAAGAGATGGAACGGTATTATAAATAAGTTAAGTTACCTCTTTTGTCACTCCATTCGTTGACTTAATTTTTTTGTGTGTATCTGTCTTCACAAAAGAGCCTACCACTGATGTGAGAAATCTTCCCATCTCCGAGAAATACAACAGTCTAAAAGAGTACCTCGACAGCGAAGGTAAGAAAATCTCCTGACAGGACTATCTATCAGCCATAATGCAGTAAGTCTTTATCTGATGAAAAAAGGTTACTTAAAGATCGATCTTTCGTTTCACACCATCCACTTTAGAGGATTTCCACACATTCCTTTTGTTTCAAAATAAACGCCATCCTTGAGGAGACTTGAAATGGTATTTTTAATATTTATAAGAGCAATTCCTTTTTTGTATATTATTTATTTTAATCAGAACATCAAAATTTACCTATCTGCAATGTTGAAAAAATCTTTACGCACGAGTTGGAGCCATCTTGGATCATCAAAAATTAAATGAGCTGTCATTCCTTGCGTCCAAATTTGTCCTTGGTCGAATGATAATTTTATAGGTGTTTGTAAATTCGCTTTCATCGTTGTTTAGGTATCGATCTTGGTTCAGAGAAGGATGTTATAGTGACTGAATCACGATGCTGTGGCTATATGGTCAAACAAGGACGTAAGTCTTGGAAAATATTCAAAGTGGCCTTGCATTTGATATGCTAGCATATGATAGTTAAATTTGAGCCAAATCAGCAGTGATTGGATGCCAGGCCTTATTTTTTAAAAAGATAGACCCTTTTTTTGAGAAGAGAAACCGGCCGAGTTATATTCAATTTGCAACAAAATCTGTAGACACGTTATATTTATGTAGGTTCTTTTCAAAATTGAAGTGTAACTAAAATCTTCACTTCGCTACACACCTCTCTTCGCGGATGATTCTTGTATGAAACAAAGAACTACAACAGAAAATATTGGTACAGGCATCAGCTGACCAAATGTACGATAAAAGTGATACGTGATGAATTAACCATTGTTCGTACGTCAGCGTGCGTTCATCGAGATATGAAGCTATGAAGCACGCGGGAAGTTTGGAGAGCACGCCAGCTTCTTGAGTGCTCTCCAAATGTCCCAAGTGTTTCATATCTCGATGAACGCACAGCTGACGTATGAACCAATTGTTTTGTTTTATAACATTTTCAACCCGATGGAAAATTGTTTTTCTCGAGGGATTTGTTTGCTGACGTCATGAGCGTGCACAATAGGAATATGAAGCACGCTCGCGCAATTGAATTTGATTAGACAAATTTACTAGTTATGTTATAAAAAATGTTGGCATTAAAAAGACATTGGTTTAAATATCTTTTTGTTAGTTACTCGTTTGTGTAATTCAGCATCGCAATCATCCTGATCAATCCACAGGAGAAGGGCGGGAATCGAACCCACGCCTCATTGACGGTGGCCGAGCGATTACTCAAGTGATCATCGCCAACAGCTATCCCTTTAACTTCCTTTCACTCAAACTCGTGTCTACTCCGTCCGTTTTGTTTCTCGCCATGCCTCTGCTCGGTTTAGTTACGTCTCAGGCAATACTGTTAACCACTATAAACTGTTTGAAGTTTATGTAAACCTTTTGAAAGTTTTTTTCCTTGTTATTCTTTTACATGTTAATGGCGTCATCTGAACTGAAGTCAATTTCCTTTAGTGAAAAATTATGTTATTTAGAAATTGTTCCCTTTTTTCGCCAACGACCCCTTCTACTGCAAAGAACAAGATGCAAAGGTACGCTAAAACAACCTGTTATGTTTTGCTTGTCTTTTTCAGAGGTTCGAAGGAGTTGGAAGAGACGATGGTTTGTCCTCGACCTAACTAGGAAATGCTTGGCTTACTTTGAAACGGAAAAGGTTAGTTAAATGAAGCGAGGTAATACCGCTGAAAAAGAAGAATTTAAAATACAGTGGCGTTGAGTTCCGGTGTACCTGGCTTCCAGCGTGTGCCAAAAGTCGGGTTCGAATGATGTTTCTTCTGTAGTAATTACGCTTTGCAAAATTTTCCAACTCTTGTGATCAAGATTGTACATGTTTAGGTGAATATAAGATAATTTCAGTACTCAAAAACTTGATTTGTTTTGCTGGTAGAGAAAATTGTGGAATTACCAATCTTGTCATTTTTCTTGCTAGGCGGATATTCCCAAAGGAGCTATCAGCTGCAAGGCCATCACCCGTGTGTACGAACACAAGAAGTGTGGCAAGAGCAAAAATCGGTTCCTGTTTTGTGTGGATACTCCAGATCGTACATACACTATGTATGCACCGAGTGAACAAAGTATGAACATTTGGATAACGTGTCTTACGATATCACCGGCCGCTATCGAACTTCAAAGAGACGAAACGTAGCAAACCCACCTGGAATGCCGTTGGAAACCTTCTAACAATGGCTAGAGAATTGGCATTGCAACGAGTGTGACTGTGAGATGAAATCTTTCAGAAGCTGGTCAAATACCTCTTCTCGAGATTGCCGCCCTAACTTGGCTGCAAGCAAGAAGCAAGAAGCAAGAGAAACAAGTTAAGATGTAGATAATTTTGCACGTTGTGGATGCAAACTAGGCATCATTGAGTTACAGCGGGACATTCAGCAAAATTCTGTGCGAGTGACAAATCGCAATTTAGATGGTGGTCTTTACAGGAAACCATTTTATACCATAGTACACTGTTTTTCAAGGAACCATTGTTGGTCTGAGTCATTGTGTTGTGTGGCATTGTTTATTTATTCTCTCTTAAAATTGTTTGAATGCCACCATACAAACAAGGCTGAGTAGTAACAATGGCTTCCTCGCTGACACATGGATAGTTACGAAATGATACATATTTGGGAAATTCTGCAGTCGCGTTATTTTGGCGCGAAATTCTGCGCTACGCAACATATTTTTCATTGAATATAGTATCTCCTGTCAACTAATCAGACGTGAATATTTAGGGCACTAGTCTTACAGTAGTATAACAACTGAGGGGTATTTGTTAACGGTGATATCAGGCTAATGCTCACTTAACTTTTCAGTGTTTGTTTGTTTCTTTCTTTCTTTCACTCTTTTCGTGACGGATTTCTTGTAGGGGTTGGTACGTGTAAGAGCTGTTCACGTGCAAAGTAGTTTAACCCTTTAACCCCTAAGAGAGATTACCCTCTAATTTCTCCTCACAGTATCTCCTCTGAATCAAACATTACAATCATGAGAATTATGAAAATAATCAACAACTACAGAAGCTGTGGACTGTTAAGCAAATTCTTGTATAGAGAACCGTGTGGAGAATATGCATACTGATCTTAGAGTGTAAAAGGTTAAAGTATGGTAGGGTTCGTAGGACAAATTACCATGTGGCGGCTCATATTGAGTTGCATGTTAATCGGGTTTGGCGGGGAGAAGGATCCTTAGGAGCCTTTTAAATTGTATTATAGATCATCTGTGATAATCAAATATGGAATTTGGGTATGGCTGTAAAACAATTTGTTTATGCAGTCGAAGGTGTATTTAATTTTAAGAAAGGTTTTGGAAAAAATATGATTTTTATTTCCATGATTTCTAATAAGCTGTAGATAATTCACAGTTCTCGTTTTGGATCATTAGCATTCAAGTTTGTCCCCAGAGGTCTTGGAGTATAAATGAATTACTCGGAAACAATGGAAATTTTCTATAGTTAGTAAACCGTAAAATTTCAGCTCCTTGCAAGCAATATTTTCTGGAAATATTAATGATCCAAGAGTGTGAAATGTTTGGGAGGTAAAATTCCTAGAGATGCTTTTGTTATTCGCATCATTTCTCAGTTGTATCCACATACGGTTCCAATTTTTAAGTGGCTCATTCTCAAGTATGTGCTTTTTGGAATTACTCTGTTCGTATTTTGATCAAAGGATTCCTAGTAAATGCCAATGATTCCAAAGCATTTTAACTGGGATTCATTTTACTGCGCGCATTGAGTAATCTTGTTTTAATGCTCCCATAAATCCAACATTTTTTTTTCTATTAATAAGTTTTATTCCTCTAACTGAAATGCTATTTGTACTTGTAAATGCTTTAAATCAATAAGGATATTTTGATTAGCTGGCAATTTATGACCAAAATTATATCAAAGCGAATATATTTTATATAATAGTGGTGGGATAAATTTTTCAAGTTATTTTGATATATGATTGATTTTATAACAAGTTGTTAAAAAATAAAATGTGTAGAATATTCCTTAGAAAATGAAATTAATAGATTATTTCCCAGTAGGGAAAGATTCAGTGCAAGAGAATTATAAGAAATTAATAAATTTCACAACTTCCAATGTTTTGCAGAGTGTTTATTTGTTTGCATTCTGTTGGGAAACGTTTTTTATGCGAGGCCTACCTAAGGTATTCGTGGAAAAGGATGTTGATAAACCATTACCTTTTGGTTTTGCTTTACTTCGCTTCGTGATTGGTCCAGAAAACTCGCACCACTCTCTCCACCAATCAGATTCAAAACTAAAACCGATTGCGACTTGGTCGCACGCGTTTTCCCGCGCTTCAGGCAGTTTGCTTGTTTTTGCTTTGAGTTTTCCTTGGCTCTTCGAGATATTTTTACTTGCCATGATTAGCCTTTGTGATTGCTTTGGTTTTGGTTAACCGACACATCTGAAAAGTGCGTTAAAAATGAGGACCACCCCAACATACACCATATTGGCCGATATTGGCCGATATTGGCCGACATAGGTCTGAGACACTTCAAGGATGGCTGTACACTTCAACTTTCAGGTGGATAGTCTTGATTCGCACCTCGTAGTATTCTTTCAATCCTGCAACAAAGCTATTTTTGTCTTAATTAATCTCTTTTTGTTTTGCTGTCCTTAATTTAATTCATCTCTTCCATGTTGAAATTGTATCACCTCATACTGCCATATTTTGCACAACAGATAACACTCATCCATCGCCCTGTGAATTACAGGTTAATTTCCATGTTGAAACTGTGTCGCCTCATGCTGCCATATTTTGCACAACAGGCAACACCCTATCGCCCTGTGAGTTACGGATGTTAATTTCCATGATCCGATATCCTTTCATACCTTTGTATTAAGACCGCTTTGGTCAACAGAAAGAATAGTGTTGCATCTGCTTTAAGTAATCGTTCAATGTGTGAGAAACTCCTCTTATTACCTTTTGACTGCACGCTGTCTTGGTAAAGTTTTTCTGCTGCCTAGGTCTGGAATTTCCAAGACTCAGAGACCGCAGAAGCATTAAGTACGTAGCCCTTAACGCAAGGTGGGTAGGTAAGTAACTTATCGTCATTTCGCTCAAACAAGATATCGAAGACATTTAAGTTAATCAATAGCGACGAGAAACCCCTGCTAAGATGATCTGCCGCGCCGTGATCATTTGTCCGGCGCTTTAAGGGAGGATGTCTCACTAGAACGAGACATCGGTGAGATATTGCTAGAAAGCACCAATATTTCGTCGAATTATTGCTCTGAAGTGTCGCAAAAATGTGCGATTTATAGATAAGGCAGGCTTGATATTATGCGATTATTGTATGCATTACTTTTGCACAACACTGTAAAAAAAGCAGAGAGGCCCTTAATAGTTTCCCTAAAAGTATACCTACCGTCTGTTTCAGCAAAATGTGCTCCTGAACCGTGAAATGACCGAGCCGCCTTTAATTAAAACTAAAGATTTCTGACTCTTACCATTTCGTTCTGCGAACAAATACACGCAATCTTCGTAAGGAAGTAACAAAAAAGCGTTTTACAAAAAAAAAATTAGTTTCTGTTTGATTGGTATTATTTTGAGTATAAAAAAAATACCCGAGTATCTACGCTATTCGGACAAAGGACAGCAAGAAATATTAGGGCTAGTTTTCCTACTTAGTACATTTTATAGAGATCTTTCGTTCTAAGAAATATAACGCGCTTTCATTAACTGCAAAAGCAATTTGCCCTCTGTCAGCACAAGTTTAATTTCAACTTGATGGTAAATATCAATTAGCAAACATCCATAATGAGACCAGATTGTTAAAAGGAGAAGCCGCAAAGAAAAGAAATACTTTTTTAAAATCCTTATGAGATGTCGTAAGTCATTTGAGCTAAGGAAGTCCATCGAGTTTGCTTTGGTGCATCTTAGGTGAATATTTTAAAATTACATTTGACATGTTTATTCATATCATAGGCAGCTGTTGATCCTTTGTCAATAGAAGCTCTAAAGTCAGGCCACCAAAAAACCTGAAGTGACATTTGGAGCAACTGGTTCAAAAGCTTCCCTGGTAGATAAGTAAAGTGCACTCACTTTCGTAGAGATAATGGCACAGGCAAACCTATCAGGAGATACAGGGAAACAAACTGAGATCCTTGCACAATTACGATGCGTGGCAGGTTGGACAGATAAGATTCACACACAGTTGATACTTATCTCAGCATTCAACATTTTCCTGTCCGTTACTGCATTTCTTGGTAACACCTTTATCCTAGTCGCCCTTTTCAAACAATCTTCCCTTCATCCACCGTCTAAACTCTTGTATCGTTGTTTGGCAACAACTGATCTTTGTGTCGGCCTTATTACTGGGCCTAGTCACGTTGCTTATTTGCTGTCACTGGTTGACCAGAACTTGGATTTTTGCCGCTATGCGCTGAGCATGAGTTTCATAGCAGGCTTCTCTCTGTCTTCAGTCTCTCTGCTAACAATGACTGCAATAAGTGTGGACAGACTTCTCGCCCTGTTGCTGGAGCTGAGATACAGACAAGTTGTAACCATGAAGCGAACATGTGTGATTGTAATTATGTTTTGGGTCGTGTCAATAGTCACTGGGGCATCGTACTTTTTTAATCACCGCATAGCCATTTGGTATAGTTATATTGTTATACCACTGTGTCTTGCAACAGCAACGTTCTCGTACGCAAAAATTTTCCACACTCTGTACCGTAGCCATTATCAAGTACACATCCATACCCTACAACAGCTGGGCCAACCACTGAACATGGCGCGATACAGAAAGGCAGTGTACAGTGCACTGTGGGTGCAGCTGGCACTCGTTGCTTGCTATCTTCCATACAACATAGCGAGATCGGTTCTTCCAAAGGGCGAACTTTCTCCACTGCAGTTTTTAGTCTGGGGATATACCGCGACCTTAGTTTACGTAAACTCGTCGCTCAATCCTATTCTTTACTGCTGGAAGATAAATGAAATAAGACAAGCAGTGAAGGAGACAATCACACAAGTACTTTGCTGTCCATGGAGTTAGTATTTGCATGATTTACGACACGATTTGCTTTTTAGCCGGGTCTCGATCAGTTTTACTCTTCTGCACTCAAATTTCTTGATAAATCTAAATTTTAGAAAAATAACCCTTTGGTTGAATTTTGCACCAGAAATGTTTCACCATTTTGCATTTGCAGATTGGCTCTTTTTGTGAGTTGATTAACCCTTTCCCGCGAGCCATTTTTTTTTAGATATTTCCACCCCTGTGTGGGCCAAATTTGGGTATTTTTAAAGTATGAAATATAAAGATATATCTAAGCTACAGAGATCAAATGTACATTTAAAATTCATCATTCTCTACAATATTTGTGCATTTTGCTAAAAAAAACCAGTTAATAATTGCACTCCGTGTGGTATTTAAATAATCTTCATCATTTTCGTCACTTTCCTCAGAAGCATCCTCTTCATCGCCAGATTCGTCCCGCAATCTATCTAGAACTATGTGAAAAGTAAATTTGCTCATTGCTTGCCAGTTTCAAACGGAAAAAGAACGAAACAATCACAATTCACAGGGAGACAACATGTGCTTGACGAGGAAAAGATGTTTTGTCGGTTGCTTTGTCATGTATCTGACACCAAGTATACTAATCTTTACCAGACCCTCATCAGTTTAATTGTCTTTACAGTGTGCAGAAGTATTCATACAAGTACTATGTTTTAGCACATACTGGGTAGGTCCTTGTATCATATGATTAATCTGATATACGACGTACTCAGTACTTCCTTGTAGCAGTGAAGGGGTAAAAAGAACCCCCTATCTACAAAACAATTTTTTTACTACTGTGCTTTGATAAATTCCAGCTGTGCGACAGGCATATATATGAGCTGTGGTTGAATGATTTTTTATCTCATTTGCATCTGCTGTGAAACGCCTTTGTAGGTAGCTAGATGCCTCGCTGGAAATCTTTTTATTATCGATGAAACAATTTGAGCTTTAATAATGACAACGTTAATTTATGTTCTTCTAGCATTCAAATTTTTGAATAAACTGATGGAAACCAACCCAAGGAAGTTCTGTATAATGCCTTTTTAGAGATCCTACCTATCGGCAAAAATATTGGGATGATTTTCTTCTGAAGTCTTCCAACAAGTCTTGGTAACTTGATAATACGCATATTTCCAAACTCATCTATGGAATAAACACGACTCAAACAGTTGTTTAGTTGATTCATTTTTCACTAAGAAGCTAGAAAATTAATTTCCTCTTTTTGCCGTCTGGAGACGGCCTTTATAACCAATTTTTTCGTGCGCTCTCATTTCTGATTCTGTTTGGTCAAATTATCTTAATGGCATGCTTATATATGTTGTTCCGTATCTGTATATTTCAGTTTTTCTGAATTCCTGCCTTTAGATTTCGTCAATGCGTCAAATTGGTTTTAAAATATTCATCTTGTATAATTCTTTTCCTTTATAGGCCCAAACATTTTCAGAGATACGTTGCTGCAGTCAGAATACAAGAGCTATCGCACGTATATGCAGTTGTCTCGAAAAAATAATTTCTTCAAATGATACAGCGTGCGTAACATTTCCAAATTGTTTTATAAGTCATGTCAAGAGGGCGTGGAGCTTACTGAAGAAGCACTGAATAAAACTTGAATATTGAAAATGAAACTTAAAGATTGAAAATAAAACTTGAATTTTGGCAGGGATTGAACGCCATAGATAATTGATTGTCAAATTTGACATATTTGATCATTTCTTGCTGTTGACTTACAAGAAACCTTGACATGAAGATTACATAGCAAATCCTCAAGATATCCTCGAAGATTAAAGCTTCCCTAGAGATTGAAGAACATAAGGCACGTTGCGGCGGGAATAATGGCTCAAGTGAATCTATCTGGGCATAGCGGAAAACAAACCGAAACACTTGAAGAACCACAATGCGTGGCAGGAAGAGCACATGAAATACACTTGCCCGTAATATTTCTCGCTGCAGCGAACATTATTCTGTCCATAAATGCATTTCACGGCAATACTCCCTTCATCCGCCATCCAAACTTATGTTTCGTTCTTTGGCAAAGACAGATTAGTTATTTGTCTTGGCCTGATTTCACAGCCTTCTATCGTTATGAATTGGCTGTCTTTGCTTCACGAAGAATGGAGTCTGTCTCTATGCAGAACTTACTAATTTTGAAGCAGCTTATAATATAACATCAGTCTCTCTCTTAACAGTGACGGCAATAAATGTGGACAGAACATCGGTCTTTTTTATCACCCTATAGCCGTCCGGTATGGCCATATCGGTATATCACTTTGCCTTATTACAGCAACGTTATAGTACACAAACATTTTTCACCGCCTCCATCGTAACAAAAATCAAGTGCATGCTCTACAGCAGCCGAACCAACTGACTTCACTGAACGTGGTACGATACGAAAAGGCAGTATACAGTGCACTGCGGTTGCAGTTGGTTTTTAGTCGGTTGCTATTTACCGTACGGTATAGTCAGAGCAGTTTTACGTGGAAATAGACTATCATCTTCTGAATTTCTGGTCTACTTAAACTCTTCATTGAACCTGGTTTTTTACTGTTGGAAGATTGGTGAAGTAAGAAATGTAGTAAAGGAGACAATCAGACGAACACTTTGCTGTCCATGAACTGAGCTGACTGTGAATGAGTTGTAGAAATGTGATTCACAAAAATGATAAACTGAAATACGTTCACTGCATAACTATTATTAGATTAAACGATTTGGCTGAATCTGTGCGAGCTCTCTATGATTTCAAAGATGATATTTGTGTATTAGACTTTCAGAATATTTGTTATAAATATTATGGACCCTTTTTATCGTAAAGCAACTGGTAACTTGCTCTTATCTGATTCAATACTTTGGTAAGTTTCATTTATTGTTATGTAATTAAGGATTTTAATTAGTGAAGTCAATGAATAGTGCTAACTCGTCAACCTCTTTACACAGTTTTCTTTGTTTGGAGAAATTAGCACCATCAGGATGCTTTAAAATTCGAACGAAAATAATGTGTCTATTTTTTATCAACAAGTCCTAAACAAAATGAGAGATAGAATTTTCTCTTAGCCGTCTAATGACAGTCTTTTATAACAATGGGCAACTTAGTATCATCAACTGAGTTGACAGCGTAAAGAGTTTCAAAGCTGACGTTTCAAGCTTTAGCCCTTCGTCAGGGCGAATCAGAGTGAAACAGGGTAACTTAGTGCTATTAACTGAGTTGATAACGTAAATAGGCCACCGTAAAGAGTTTCAAAGCTGTCGTTTCGAGAGTTAGTCCTTAGTTAGGGTGAAGAGCTAACGCTCGAAACGTCAGCTTTGAAACTCTTTACGGTGGCCAATTTACGTTATCAACTCAGTTGATAATATTAGATTACCCTGTTATACTCTTCCACCGACGTAGCACCACAGTATCTTTTGCCCTCTTTTAAAAAAACCCGATTTTTCGTGAAAGTTAATTTCCGATTCTGCTCTGTCAAATAATCTTGATCATTGTTACATTGTCTACCGTCCCGTATATTGCTTATGTCGCTCAATTTGTTTTCAACATTTCAGTTGTGTTGAGTTTATGTAATAAGTTTGTGTGACAGCGTCAAATTGTTTGTAAAACATTCTCATTTTTCTTTGCCTTTTTTACACTGTATCATGAATACAATAAACAGATGATTGCAGAAGTATTATAAGGTGTCTAAAGAGGCATCCTTTTTAGGCCCAAAACATTTCAAGTAAAGCAAACACCCCGCTTTCGCGCGAAACATTTATTATGCACCGGAGATACGATCAAGTCGATACCATTGCTATATCGTGTGTACATACAGCTGTCTCGAAAAACTCTCTCCTTAAAAAGTCCATAGCGAGCACAAAATTTCCAAATTGCCTTGCGAGTCAATGATCGAAGGGTCACATAATAAAGAGAGAGCACCGTTCGTATTCTATGATTTACGGTTTCTCGTTGGAAAAAATATTCTACAACTGATAGGCATCCGTTTTCCGTTTGACGTGTGTGACAAGATCGTGACCAGTCGATGAGTTATTATCACAAAAGGTCCTGACATAAAAATTATGAAAAAACCTGAAGTGATCCACGGAGATGCAAGCTTCCCTACAGATTGAAAAGCATGAGGAACGTTGCTGAGGAAATAATGGCACAGGTGAACCTATCTTCTGAAACTGCAAAACAAAGCGAAACACTTGCACAACTGCGATGCGTGGCAGGATGGGCAGATGGAATACACAAGCCAATAATAACTCTCTCAATCATCAACATTTTTCTGTCCATTACTGCATTTCTTGGAAACTTCCTGATCTTAGTCGCACTCCATAAGGAGTCATCTCTTCATTCGCCATCCAAATTTCTGTATCGTTGTCTGGCAACAACTGATCTCTGTGTTGGTCTGATTTCAGAGCCTTCCGCCGTTATGTATTGGCTGTCCTTAGTTAACGAATATTGGAATTTTTGTCTCTTTATGCAAAGCGCACATTTCGTAGCAGGTTTTATACTAGCATCAGTTTCCCTTTTGACAATGACCGCAGTAAGTGTAGACAGACTTCTCGCCCTAATTTTGGGGCTGAGATACAAACAAGTTGTGACTTTAAAGCGAACACATTTGCTTCTTATCATCTTTTGGATTGTTTCTTCGATTCTCGGTGCGACATCGTCCTTTGTGAATCACCGTATAGCTATCAGGTTTAGCTATGTCGTTATAGGGGTTTGTCTGATAACAACAACCGTCTCGTACATGAAAATTTTCCACGGCCTTCATCATAACCAAAATCAGCTGCAAGCGCATGTGCAACCAGTTCCCCTCAACATGGCGCGATACAGAGAGGCAGTGCACAGTGCACTGTGGGTGCAGTTGGCATTAGTAGTTTGCTATTTACCGTACGGCATAGTCACAGCTGTTCTTCCCGAAGGGAGAGCTTCTCCCTTTGAATTTCTAGTCTCTGAATGCGTAGAGACCTTAGTTTACTTAAACTCTTCGTTGAACCCGTTTCTTTATTGTTGGAGGATTACTGAAGTGAGACAAGCAGTAAAGGAGACAATCAGACGAGCACTTTGCTTTCCGCAGACTTAGTTGTAGCTTTTCAGTAAGTTCTGGAAGTGTTATCCGTTACCGTTATTTGGCAAAAAAAGGGCTGTTATAAAATAAAGCTGTTAGAAGATTTAGAGTTTGATTCGTTCGATCATAACCAATGATGCGCTTTATTAAGCTAAAACACATTCAGGGGTGGTGTGGAGAGGAGAAGAATTTTGGAAGTAAGCGGCGGATAGTTCGATGTCCACAACAGTATGAAGATGTAGTCTGGGACTGAGCAACTTCTGGAAGTGTTATCCGCCAGTAAGGCAGGCTTTGAAAAAAATAAGCTGTAAGTGGACTAAGACTAAAAATTGGTTCGATCACGTTTAGTGATGTGCTCTTTTCGCTCCTATACGACCCTCAGGAGTCCCAAAGTACGTTGAGAACGATTTCCAGGTGTTTTAATTTGATATCAGATGAGAGCTTCACAGTTGTGTTTCAAATCATAGTAGATCTCAAATGTTCTCAATAGGATTTTTTCTTATGGAAAAAGCACTTCCATCTGGCTTTGGTATTTATAGCATGAGGATAGACAAAATTGATTTTGAAACATAAACCGCCTAATTTACATACAAATTAAAAAGATGGCATCTTTTTTTCACGATTCTAATCTTGACTGGAAAATGGCTCTGAGGGAAACTTTAATAGCCGATCTATTTATTTCTACTAATTCACGCAATCCTAAAATTTATTTCAACCAGATTTTTCTGAAATTTAGGGAACATGGAAATTAAAACCGTATTATCCATCATTCCATTTTGCGATTCGCAAATCAAGTTCAACTTTATCTAAAATAAACAGAAGTTCACTGATCTACTTTAACCCAAAGAAAGTCATATTTCCAACATGCGTGGAAATGCTTATATAAGTAATTTCACCTTTCAATGCAGTGAATATTTCGTGCGATTAACAAAACAGGATTAAACAAAACAGGATCCTTCCTGTAAAATCTTCGTAGAATGGAGATATATTTCAGTCAAAGTGTATTTCGTAGTCAGGGGAGAGAGAGAGTTTATTTTAAAGTTTTGATAGGAATTAATTAACATGACAATTCAAACATAAGTTATGGCACTCCTTTTAATGGTTCTGATCATAAATGGACGGAAGGAAGATTTTCAAGAGAAAAAATATAAGCTTGTTATTCAGAAAAATAGAGGCTGTTCTTTCAATCGGAGAGGAAGCAAAGTAGAGAGAACGATGAACAACAACAAACTGAATATCTATCAGTCTCATCAGTTACGAATAATTATTATCTTGAGGGTGGGTGGAAGTAGAAATGCGGATATACTGAACAATTTGCAAATCAGAATAAAAACAACCTTTATGAAATAGAGAAGCTAATAAAAGCTTTCTTCTTTCTTTGTATTTTAAATGATCAAGCTTGAAACACAGCTAAAAGGGAAATTATTTCCATAACAGCTTGGTTCATATTTTATCAGTTGCACTACTTATAATAGGGAGTTTAAGAAAACCACGACGGCAACGGCAACAGGAACGTCACCAAACAAAAGGTTTTAATGAGTAGAACAGTGGCTGTCCACGTGCGTTAGAAACTTTTGTAGATTTCTCTGCGTCCTCTGCAAAACAATAGGGACCTTTGGCAAACCACGTCGGCAACGAGAACGTGGCAAAACAAAAGGTCTAATGAGCACAACAATAACTCAGCACGTGCGTTTTAAAACTGTGTACATTTCTTAGCCGTCCTCTACAAAGTAACAACGTGAAATCATCAAACTTTGCGTGGTCCGAGAAAGGAAACCCCAACAGTAGATTATTTAAGTTTCCATTTGGAACTCAACGCCGTTCTCATATGTTATGCTGAGGTTAACTTGTGGCGCCGTAAGAGATGATAAACATATTCAGTCAGTCGCGAAATTCCAACTTAAAATATATATTCATTTTTAAATCGAAGTTTTCCTTGGCGTTGCTGTCCTAACTGCTAAGCGTAAGCAACGAAGGCTAATTTTTTTAATTTTTATTTATAATTTAACGCTGTGTTCCCTATTCAGTTTCGAGATAGTTTTGACCGTGGAAAACAAACTAAATGACTTGCGAGTATCGCGAGATTCGTATTTAAAATGACGGTTCACTTTTTAACCGACGTTGTCCACAGCGCCGCCGTCGTCGTTTCTTAAATTCCCTAATACTTATTCAACAGATGTTATCAGGAAAAATACGGACTGTTAATGTACAGTAACAATTTGAGTTTTCCTTTCTTTCCACTGAAGATAAGTTAGCTGTTCTCTAAACCTGGGAATAAGATAAGGTGCTTTCACGCTCAACCATGATACCTAGACTATTTAACTGACGACAGAATTACCAGCGTAAAGAAATAGAACAAGAAAGAATATATGGAAAATAAAATAGCCAAATACCGAATGGTAGATAGTAAACGACTTATGATGTACCTGAACCCACAGTGCACTGAACACTGCCTTTCTGTATCGCATCATGTTCCGTAATGGACAGAAAAATGTTGGTTGTTGCGAAGATTATTATAATTATTGACATATGTATTTTATTTTCCCATCCTGGCACGCATTCCTGTTCTGCCAGTATTTTATATTTGTTTTCAGACATCATCAGGTAGGTTAATTTTGACATCCGCGTGTATTTTAGACCGCAAGGACGGTCGTTTCTCCTGAGATCGTTTCAAGTTTTTGGTATATATTTTCATGTCAATATTTTTCTCTGGTGATAATTCAATAGCTAGTCATGATCTTATCAAACATGACAAATTTTGACAAGGATTGGGCTAGTCTATTCATAAGGAAAACAGATGCGTATTGATGAAGCTGTTTATTGTTTTCGTTTGCGGAAGTCATAGGCATTATTTCCAAGGATACCGTAAATCCTGGAGTAAGTACTTCTCCCCTAATATTCGCCCCCTTTGAATGAACACAAACAGACCCGATTTGCAACGCAGTGTGGCAATTTTGTGCACACTCTATCCATAAGAAGGAGGGATTTTCTTTCGTGACAGTTGTATACACACGACAGATAATTTTTTGACAGCAACAATATATCTCTGATCATGAATTTTTCGCAAGAAAAGAGGCAGCTTTATTTGACTTGAAATGTTTTGAGCTTGTAAACGATGTATTTTCAGACACATTATAATACAAGTGCAATCTTTTGTTGTTCTTATTCACAATTGAAAGGACAAAGAAAAAACCAAAAGCTTCCAATAAACGTGAAGTTCCGTTGAAAACTAAAAGTATTTTTCCCGCAAAACGGACAAAGTAATCAAAACAAAAATAGCTTCATAAGAAACTTAAGGGAATATGCCATCAAGGTAATATGAAAGAACAGAAATGAATATCAACATAATACTATAAAAACACTGTCTTATTAAAACATAATGCCAGCGGCACTGTAATTAAGCAACAACTGCTAGACTGTCTCATTAATGATGAGCCATTCATCTTCCTAAGAAATTAGAAGTTCCGTAAGGTAAACATTTGGGTTGAATAATCTTTTTTTCAACCGAAACTAGAGCATAAACGGAATATAAACGGAGAAGAAAATTATCAGTGAGAGCAATTGAACAGGAGACCACAGAAACAACTCAAGACTTTAAGAAACCAAACACTTGAACAACTGAGGTGTGTAACAGGTGGGTTCTCTTCATTACTGTATTTCTTGGGATTGCTCTTATCCTTGTGTCCTTCACAAATGTATTTTGTAATGTTTTGTAATGTTTAACAAGTGTTTTCTATGTGATATTTATGCAAGGAATTTACGTATGAATGATATGTTAATGTTTTAGCTTGAGGAAGTTCTGTGCGATTCGTTTTGCTAATGAAGAGATTGTAAGTTATGCAAAAACCATTCGAAAGCATCTCTTCCGCTATTTCCTTTTTGTTATATAATATATATATATATATATGTTATTCGCCAGCCGGGAGGTCCGTATTGGAAAAAACTGTGCCCTCTGTCTTGAGTACCGCCCGAGGCGTGGTGGAGGATATACGGTTTAGGATATCGCGGCGTAAGTAGGCTTTTTTAACATTTTATAATTCATTGACTTTACAGGTTTGAAAAGATCATTACCAGCTGTTAGAAAAGTCCTGATATGTAAATTTGTACTAAAAACCTGGTCCGACCTCGGAGATACAAGCTGACGAGTCTAAATGTGTAAGGCACGTTATATTGGGAATAATGGCGCAAGAAAACTTATCAAGATCGGATGCCGGAAAACAAACTGAAACTTTTATACAACTACGATGCGTGACAGGATGGGCAGATGAAATACGCATGCCACTGATATTTCTCGTAACAACCAACATTTTTCTGTCCATTACTACATTTGTCGGTAATACCCTGATCCTGGTCGCCCTTCATAAGGATTCTTCCCTACATTCGCCATCCAAACTTATGTATCGTTGTCTGGCAACAACTGATGTCTGTGTTGGTCTGATTGCTGAGCCTTCCGCCATTATGTATTGGCTGTCCTTGCTCCACGAAGATTGGAATCTTTGTCGCTATGCGGTAGTTACCTATTTTGTGGCAGGTTACATTCTAACAGCAGTCTCTCTCTTGACAATGACTGCAATAAGTGTGGACAGACTTCTCGTCCTGTTGTTGGGACTGGGAAACAGACAAGTTGTGAATTCGAAGCGAATATATTTGATTCTCATTACGTTCTGGACTGTTTCGATTCTGCATGGGGCATCTTACATTGTAGATCACCGTATAGCTTATTGGACTTCTCATATCGTTACACCATTGTGTCTAGTAACAGCGACGGTCTCGTACACAACAATTTTTTACCGTCTCCACCACAGCCTAAATCAAGCACAGGTACAAGTCCCACAACAGCCAAGCCAACCAGTTCCACTGAACAAAGTGAGATACAGAAAGGCACTGCACAGTGCACTGTTGGTGCAGTTGGCATTCGCTGTTTGCTATCTTCCATACGGTGTAGCCGTAACACTTCTACCGAAAGGTAGACTATCTACTTCTGAATTTCTAGTCTTAGAAGGCGTTGTGACCTTAGTTTTCTTAAACTCTTCGTTGAACCCGTTTCTCTATTGTTGGAAGATTAGTGAAGTAAGGCAGGTAGTAAAGGAGATAATCAGACAAGCACTTTCCTGTCCATAGAGTTGGCTGTAGTCTTAGAGCAAGTTGTGACAGTGTAAGTATCTGTAAGTAAAGAAGGCAAACAAAGGCAGAAATGTTAGTTGATTAAGAATCAAATCCATTTGATCAGGATTAGTGATGCACTTTGTTATACTCTTTCGAACTTCAGCCGGGGGCGATAAATGAGATGCTATTCTATTCTGTTGTTTGGAAACGACTGATTAAATTTATATTTCGTGACATCGCTGATACATATTACGCTTCATAAAAATTTATGGTATGAGTGTTATTCTCCTGGTATTAATATTTTCTGGGGAGTGATCGAAAGGTAAATTAATCCTTTTTATAGAACTTCGCTATCACCCAAAGGGCGGCCTCTTGCTTTCATTTGTTTCTCGATGTTTGAATACCACGATCAAACCCACGCACTCGTTTTTACATACCACGTAACCCTTTAACTCCCAAGATCTCATTAGCAATTCTCCCTACTGTCTGCCATACAGTTCTTGCGATGGTAGTTTGGAGAATTGGGTATTGAGATATAGATATAGATATATTTCAGTCAAAGTGTATTTCGTAGTCAGGGGAGAGAGAGAGTTTACTGTAAAGTTTTGATAGGAATTAATTAACATGACAATTCAAACATAAGTTATGGCATTTCTTTTAATGGTTCTGATCATAAATGGACGGAAGGAAGATCTTCAAGAGAAAAAAATATAAGCTTGTTATTCAGAAAAACAGAGGCTGTTCTTACAATCGGAGAGGAAGCAAAATAGAGAGAACGATGGATCAACAAACTGAATATCTATCAGTCTCATCAGTTACGAATAAAAATTATACTGAGAGTGTGAGGAAGTAGAACTGTGGACATGCTGAACACTTTGCAAATCAGAATAAAAACAACCTTTATGAAATAGAGAAGCTAATAAAAGCTTTCTTCTTTATTTGTATTTTAAATGATCAAGCTTGAAACACAGCTAAAAGGGAAATTATTTCTTCAACAGCTCGGTTCATATTTTATCAGTTGCACTACTAATAATAGGGAGTTTAAGAAAACCACGACGACAACGGCAACAGGAACGTCACCAAACAAAAGGTTTTAATGAGTAGAACAGTGTCTATCCACGTGCGTTAGAAACTTTTGTAGATTTCTCTGAGTCCTCTGCAAAACAATAGGGACCTTTAGCAAACCACGTCCGCAACGAGAACGTGGCAAAACAAAAGGTCTAATGAGCGCAACAATAGCTCAGCACGTGCGTTTTAAAATTGTGTACATTTCTTAGCCGTCCTCTACAGAGTAACAACGTGAAATCATCAAACTTTGCGTGGTCAGAGAAAGGAAACCCCGACGGTAGATTATTTAAGTTTCCATTTGGAACTCAACGCCGTTCTCATATGTTATGCTGAGGTTAACTTGTGGCGCCGTAAGAGATGATAAACATATTCAGTCAGTCGCGAAATTCCAACTTAAAATATATATTCATTTTTAAATCGACGTTTTCCTTGGCGTTGCTGTCCTAATTGCTAAAGGTCCCTAACAACGTGAGATGACCAAACTTTGCGTTGTCTAGAGAACGTAAGCAACGAAGGCTAATTTTTTTAATTTTTATTCATAGTTTAAAGCTGTATTCCCTATTCAGTTTCGAGATAGTTTTGACCGTGGAAAACAAACTGAATGACTTGCGAGTATCGCGAGATTCGTAGTTAAATGACGGTTCACTTTTTAACCGACGTTGTCCACGGCGTCGCCGTCGTCGTTTCTTAAATTCCCTAATACTCATTCAACAGATGTTATCAGGAAAAATACGGACTGTTAATGTACAGTAACAATTTGAGTTTTCCTTTCTTTCCACTGAAGATAAGTTAGCTGTTCTCTAAACCTGGGAATAAGATAAGGTGCTTTCACGCTCAACCATGATACCTTGACTATTTAACTGACGACAGAATTACCAGCGTAAAGAAATAGAACAAGAAAGAATATATGGAAAATAAAATAGCAAAATACCGAATGGTAGATAATAAACGACTTATGATGTACCTGAACCCACAGTGCACTGAACACTGCCTTTCTGTATCGCATCATGTTCCGTGATGGACAGAAAAATGTTGGTTGTTGCGAAGAATATTATAATTATTGACATATGTATTTTATTTTCCCATCCTGGCACGCATTCCTGTTCTGCCAGTATTTTATATTTGTTTTCAGACATCATCAGGTAGGTTAGTTTTGACATCCGCGTGTATTTCAGACCGCAAGGACGGTCGTTTCTCCTGAGATCGTTTCAAGTTTTTGGTATATATTTTCATGTCAATATTTTTCTCTGGTGATAATTCAATAGCTAGTCATGATCTTATCAAACATGACAAATTTTGACAAGGATTGGGCTAGTCTATTCATAAGGAAAACAGATGCGTATTGATGAAGCTGTTTATTGTTTTCGTTTGCGGAAGTCATAGGCATTATTTCCAAGGATACCGTAAATCCTGGAGTAAGTACTTCTCCCCTAATATTCGCCCCCTTTGAATGAACACAAACAGACCCGATTTGCAACGCAGTGTGGCAATTTTGTGCACTCTATCCATAAGAAGGAGGTATTTTCTTTCGTGACAATTGTATATACACGACAGATAATTTTTTGACAGCAACAATATATCTCTGATCATGAATTTTTCGCAAGAAAAGAGGTAGCTTTATTTAACTTGAAATGTTTTGAGCTTGTAAACGATGTATTTTCAGACACATTATAATACAAGTGCAATCTTTTGTTGTTCTTATTCACAATTGAAAGGACAAAGAAAAAACCAAAAGCTTCCAATAAACGTGAAGTTCCGTTGAAAACTAAAAGTATTTTTCCCGCAAAACGGACAAAGTAATCAAAACAAAAATAGCTTCATAAGAAACTTAAGGGAATATGCCATCAAGGTAATATGAAAGAACAGAAATGAATATCAACATAATACTATAAAAACACTGTCTTATTAAAACATAATGCCAGCGGCACTGTAATTAAGCAACAACTGCTAGACTGTCTCATTAATGATGAGCCATACATCTTCCTAAGAAATTAGAAGTTCCGTAAGGTAAACATTTGGGTTGAATAATCTTTTTTTCAACCGAAACTAGAGCATAAACGGAATATAAACGGAGAAGAAAATTATCAGTGAGAGCAATTGAACAGGAGACCACAGAAACAACTCAAGACTTTAAGAAACCAAACACTTGAACAACTGAGGTGTGTAACAGGTGGGTTCTCTTCATTACTGTATTTCTTGGGATTGCTCTTATCCTTGTGTCCTTCACAAATGTATTTTGTAATGTTTCGTAATGTTTAACAAGTGTTTTCTATGTGATATTTATGCAAGGAATTTACGTATGAATGATATGTTAATGTTTTAGCTTGAGGAAGTCCTGTGCGATGCGTTTTGCTAATAAAGAGATTGTAAGTTATGCAAAAACCATTCGAAAGCATCCCTTCCGCTATTTTATTTTTGTTATAAAATATATATATATATATATATATATATATGTTATTCGCCAACGTATTGGGAAAAACTGTGCCCTCTGTCTTGAGTACCGCCCAAGGCGGTTTAGGATATCGCGACGTAAGTAGGCTTTTTTAACATTTTATAATTCATTGACTTTACAGGTTTGAAAAGATCATTACCAGCTGTTAGAAAAGTCCTGATATGTAAATTTGTACTAAAAACCTGGTCCGACCTCGGAGATACAAGCTGACGAGTCTAAATGTGTAAGGCACGTTATATTGGGAATAATGGCGCAAGAAAACTTATCAAGATCGGATGCCGGAAAACAAACTGAAACTTTTATACAACTACGATGCGTGGCAGGATGGGCAGATGAAATACGCATGCCACTGATATTTCTCGTAACAACCAACATTTTTCTGTCCATTACTACATTTGTCGGTAATACCCTGATCCTGGTCGCCCTTCATAAGGATTCTTCCCTACATTCGCCATCCAAACTTATGTATCGTTGTCTGGCAACAACTGATGTCTGTGTTGGTCTGATTGCTGAGCCTTCCGCCATTATGTATTGGCTGTCCTTGCTCCACGAAGATTGGAATCTTTGTCGCTATGCGGTAGTTACCTATTTTGTGGCAGGTTACATTCTAACAGCAGTCTCTCTCTTGACAATGACTGCAATAAGTGTGGACAGACTTCTCGTCCTGTTGTTGGGACTGGGAAACAGACAAGTTGTGAATTCGAAGCGAATATATTTGATTCTCATTACGTTCTGGACTGTTTCGATTCTGCATGGGGCATCTTACATTGTGGATCACCGTATAGCTTATTGGACTACTCATATCGTTACACCATTGTGTCTAGTAACAGCGACGGTCTCGTACACAACAATTTTTTACCGTCTCCACCACAGCCTAAATCAAGCACAGGTACAAGTCCCACAACAGCCAAGCCAACCAGTTCCACTGAACAAAGTGAGATACAGAAAGGCACTGCACAGTGCACTGTTGGTGCAGTTGGCATTCGCTGTTTGCTATCTTCCATACGGTGTAGCCGTAACACTTCTACCGAAAGGTAGACTATCTACTTCTGAATTTCTAGTCGTAGGTGGCGTTGTGACCTTAATCTTTTTAAACTCTTTGTTGAACCCGTTTCTCTATTGTTGGAAGATTAGTGAAGTAAGGCAGGTAGTAAAGGAAACAATCAGACAAGCACTTTCCTGTCCACAAAGTTGTCTGTAGTCTTAGAGCAAGTTGTGACAGTGTCAGTATGCGTAAGTAAAGAAAGCAAAAAAAAGGCAGAAATGTTAATTGATTAAGAATCAGATCCATTTGATCAGGATTAGTGATGCGCTTTGTTACACTCTTTCGACCTTCAGCGGGGGCGAGAAATGAGACGCAATTCTATTCTGTTGTTTGGAAACGACTGATTAAATTTATATTTAGTAACATCGCTGATACATATTACGCTTCATAAAAATTTACGGTATGAGTGTTATTCTCCTGATATTAATATTTTTCGGGGAGTGATCGAAAGGTAAACTAATCCTTTTTATAGAGCTTCGCTTTCACCAATACAACGAAAATGAAGTCCTTTCTAAGCTTTAAATGATTCTAAGATCTCCTTTTTCAGTTTCTTTTATCGATATTATGGATTTCTATACATATTTTTAATATTCTAATACTATAAATACTTCAAAAGATACTGGTTCACGAAATTAACTTTCTTTATTTGT